ACTTGACACCCTGAACAAGTTTGCCGAAGACAGTAACTTCTATCTGCTCAGGATCTCGAGCTATTGTATATGCGAAAATTGCATGTATATACTAGCGCCAAGTAGTGAGAATTTTCTGAACTACTCCACCAACGAAAAGATCTGGACTTCCTGAAAAACTTTGCCGAAGACAGTAACTTTTTATATGGTAAGGATCTAGAAATATTTTATATATGCGAGAATTTTACATGTATACTAGTGCCGCGAAGTGAGAAAACACTGAACTACTGTCCACCAACGAAAAGGCCTTGACCTTCTGAACAACTTTGCCGAAGACAGTAATTTTCTATCTGGTCAGGATCTCGAGATTTTAATGTGCCTCATGATAGGTTATTATCCAAGTCCGATTCTGGTCACTTTCCCGGGGCACCTGGAACTTGTCCGGAAGTGGCCAATGTGGTCCAAGGTACTTAATTGTTTCCACCATTGATCTGGTTATCGAATTTTGATATAATCTAATAATAAAAAATAAACCAAAAAAAATAAAACATTTTAAAATCGTTTTACATTACATCTAAACCATATATTTCAAACGCCAACATTTTTTCTTAGCCTTCGCATCAGCCTTATACTTCTTTGAAACCGTGATTTTTGACACTAATGCCACAAGTGTTGACTTTATTATATGTAACACTCGGGTTATCAACAAGAAATTTCGCGCATAAGTTTTTGTATCCTTTCAAGCAAGAACATTGGTAATAATGTAGATGAATAGGAGCAATTGATTTTTAGGTATTGATAAATTCCGGACAAACCATCAAGCGGAATACCACAAACGTAACAGTTCTTATAAAAAACTTTCTGTTTTCGATAGTTCCCTCCTATCCAAATATAACTCAGTTTTCTCAACAATTGTGCATGCTTCAAAAAATCTAAATAGACGTATGGATTCAGGAAGGTCTATTCAACAAAATCCAAGTGTAATATTCAAAGGAAGGAGCCAAAATCCATCTTGGCTGAACATAAAAACCAAATTTCAACAAAAATACCTAGTTTTGTCAATTTAAAGCTGGCTTTGGTTGTGCTTAAAAAAATAATCATCACATATGAATTCAGCAAGGTCAATTCTATAAAATCTAAGCATAACTTTCAAAGGACAGTATCAAAATCCAACTTAGCAGAAAAGGAAAACCAAAAAAAAACCTTTTCGAATTACAAACACGGTTCAACCTTCACGTATGGATTCAGCAAGGTCCATTCTAAAAAATACAAGCCCATTTTTCAAAGATATGAGCCAAAATGCAATTTGGCAGAAACGAAAAACCAAATTTCTATGAAAATACGGATGGATTCAGCAATTCGGTAAAATCCACTCCTATTTTTCAAAGGAAGGAGCCAAAACTCAACTTGGCTGAACAAGAAACCAAAATTTCTATAAAAATACGTACTTTTGAGAATTTAAACCCAGTTTTCTACAAAATTATGCATGCTTCAAAAAATTTACCATCACGTATGGATTCAGTAAAGTCCATTCTCTAAAATTCAAGTCTATTTTCAAAGATCGAAGCCGAAATTCAACTTGGCAGAACAGAAAATCAAAGTTTTTATGAAAATACGTACTTTTGTGAACTTAAGCTCGGTATTCTCCAAAATTGAAGAAATTCAACCCTCACGTATGGATTCAGCAACTTCTATTAAAATACAAGCCTATTTTTCAAAGATAGAAGCCAAAATTCAGTTCGGAAGCAAGTTCCATTCTTTAAAATCCAAGCACAAATTTCAAAATATTGAACCGAAATCCAACCTGAATTCAAAAAAATCTACCATCACGTATGAACTCATAAAAGTCTATTCCATAACATCCAAGCCTTTTTTTCAAAGGACGGAGCCAAAATCCAACTTGGCTGATCGAGAAACCCAAAATTCTATAAAAATACGTATTTTTGTGGATATATCATCAGGTATAAACACACGAAGGTCCATTCTTTAAAATCTCAGCCTAATTTTCAAAGGATGTGAATCTCACAAGAACGAGGAAAGGATCTAAGGGAGCGGAATCTACGTTAAAAGTTAGGTAAATCACTTCAGGAAAGCTCAGAATAACATTCAATATAATTCAATCACTCAACAGAAAAGTTTCGACTGCCTAAGGAAGATTTTGAACCACTTCAGAAAAGGTTGGACACCATTTGGAAAATTTAAGCTCAAAAAATTGTCGGTTCACTTCGGAAAATTTTCTACACTTTCACTAAGCAAGATTGTGTCCTTGCCAAATGCCAAAGCAGTTAACAAAAATCTGGAGCTCACTTAGGAAAATATCAAACCCGTTCTGGTTTCAGTTCGGAAAAAGTTGAATCAATAATGCAGGAAACCTTGGATTCATTTAGGAGAAGGATTAATCAGCTAATGTTGCCTTACTTCAGAAAATGCAAAACCAATTCTTTAAAGATTGGATTTGGAATACATATGTTGAATCACTTCAGGAAAGTTTTGACAACTTTTAAAAGGATTGAATAAGATAACAGAAAAGTTTAGACACAGTTAGAAAAATATTGATGACTTATTCGAAAGTTTGAACTCACTTCAAAAAAGTTCAGACTCAGTTTTGAATCTGTTTTGAAAAGTGTCACCTCAGTTAGGAATTTCCTGAATCGTTTGAGATTTGGTCTCACTTCTAAAAATTTTAAACCAATTTTGAAAATATTGGATTTAGCTCGGACATTGTTGTCCGAGTAGAAGAAAAGAAGTAAATCATTAAGTATCATTGCAGAAGGTTTGTAAGTTAAGAAATTTAGATCGAATGCAAAAAGCTGGCGACTTCGGTGGGCTGGGTACATCGTAGTAATGTCGGATAACGACCCACTGAAAATGGTTCTTTGTAGTGATCCGACTGGGACAAGACGAAAATGAGCGCAACGAACAAGAGGGATCGATCAGATTGAAGGTGGCTTACCCAGTGAGTTGCCAAAGAAGATTAGGAATGATGTTCGATAAAATCCGTTTTCAACAACTGAAACCGGCTGATCCGATTTCAAGGACCTGTCATGCCGTACTGGGCAAGTACCATTTTATGGGAAAATTCTTTAAAAGAACAAGGTGGAACAAATCTAGCATAGCGAGTATCCATACCCAAATGAATTTGCGAAAAATAAATATACACTGAGTTTTATTTTATTTCCCCCTTGGTGGTGTTCCAAAATTTTAAAGGGGGGGGGGGGGTCTGTCAAAAGAAAAACTTGATATTTGTTCCGGCCTTAATTCAATTATGTGTTGAGGGTCTTCTTATTTTTTTTTTTGAATAGTTCATGAATAAGGATTTGGGTACGTTTTTAATTACATTTGTGTAACTTTAATTGCATTAATTACAGAAAATAAATTTTTAATAACATTAATTACGTAATCTAATCGAAGTACGTGTTTTAATTACAGTAATTAAACTGGCACTGCTTTGATTACGCGAAATTAAATTTAATTACATGAAATACTTAATTACTTAATTACATAGTTGAACACCTTGTACTTTAAATTCAACGCAGTCAAAAAGGCAATTGCGTGCCCCTCGGGAAAAACCAGCCAGTATTGCACCCAACATTAGTGCCTATACGTAAGCGTACTACAACGCGGCTCTCAAACAAAGGAGTAACAAGTGTGATACTATCACTTTCAGACTCTTTGGCTCTCTCATGCAGTTGTTCATCAGAGAGGGAAAGCTTAAACGCTATCCAGACTGGAGAGTTATAACATGTTATAACGGTTGTCAAATAATTGCAACACAGAAACCACCATCAAGATAGCGCTATAACATGTTATAACTCTGTAGTCTGAACAAGGCATTAGGCTGTGAACCATTTGCCTCGTAGTAAAAAGTGACATTTCGAAAATTATTTTCTATGTTCGAAAATCCCTGTGCTGCCGATCGACCAGTTTTCGAGAAGAACATAGTCAAGGTTGTCAAAGTTTAACTTCTTTTCTGTCAGAAATAACCACGCTCGGATTGCAGGGTTAATCGATAACTTTCCATCAGTCAAATTTTAACCAAAAGTTAAAATAATCCATCAAATGGTTCAGAGCCTAAGAACACAAATGACTTACACGGAGAAAAAATACTACACAAAATTTGAGTTCTTTTTACTTACTATTGACTTCAGCCTCTCAGTTGCACTCGTTATTGTTTTTAAAAAAGGAACAAGAGATTCTACCCAACGATATAGTTCAACCCAATAAGTTACTTTTGAGTAAAATGTATATTCTCAAATTTACCGGGTAGAATATACTTAAGAGTAGGTAATTTTTTTTGCTGGTGTTAAATTGAAACTACTATATGCGATTTACTCAAATTTGGGTTATTGTGCTGAACCCCGGAATTGAGGGAAAAATACTTAATTTTGGGTAGTTTTTCATCTCCGTGTAAAAAACGTTTTTTGTGAACTTTTTCACCCCATAGACAAATTTAGTTACAGGACAACGTGCGGTGTTTAGTTTTTCCTATACTTGGGATAAATATGATCGTCCAACCTTACCTTCTTAACACTCCTTTTGATCGATTCTACAGCGTCTGTTCTCGAATTGCTCCTTGCACCCGTGTTAGCTAGGAACCACTCGCTTCCTACGGTTATTGTTTAAAAAATGGAAACCTCCGCTTTTCTGCTTCAAGCACTGCATCAACCTTCTTGCATCTCTTGGTACCGGTTGAACATTCTCGGGTCCTAGACCAGGAATTATGCAGATGGAGGCTCATCACAGGTGATTTTCTTTCTTTCGGTTCCCTATTCAAATTCTTTTTTTTTCTTTTCCTTTAAAAGATTGCGGATTTGTCAACGACAACGACAAGTTGTTTATTGTTCTTTTTTTGTATAGTACAATTCATAATATAGATCAATAAAGGACACAAATCGAGTTTGTGTGTGCGTGAGGGTTAGTTCAACAGAATTTGGTAGAGTTCGTTTGTGGCAAACGATATAGATGGATAATAAGGAAGGGAGCGCGCGTTCAGCAGCGATTGTACTTTCGTTTCAACTTACCAGCACCGAGATCGGTCGGCGTGATCGGCCCGGCCGAGTGTGGCGTAAAACCCGGCGGTTGGGCCATGAACTTCTGTCGAACTTCGCGGATTTTCAACTGCAAGCTTTGCTTGCTCGGAAAGATGTCGCTGTGGGCCAGCTGAGGAGGGGAAAGGTAGGTCATTAAATTAGCGGTTTTCGATTGAATTTGAAAATGTACTGCACCTGAAAGCTGTTGGTCGCCTGGGACGTTGGGAACATTCCATGTTCCTGGAACAGTTGCATAACCAAGTTGCGCCGCTGTTCCAGAATCTTCCGATGTCCTTTCTCTTCGGCCGAGTTGACTGACCGTGCCGAGGGCGTTTTCGGAGTCCGGGGCGAGCGGTCCGTGTTGTCAGTGGCTATATCTACGACAGAGAAGAAACCTTCGATCGATTAGTTATAACATATCGTTCGCTTGGTATTGGGGCGAATCGATTGATCCCCTCCGGAGCTATGTTTTACCTTTGTACTGTTCCATGTTGAAATCCGGTCCGAAGAAGCGATTGCCAATGATGTACGAGCTGGAGGGCGTTGCCGTCGACGAAAGCGGCGCACTGCTGTCCGATGTAAGCTGAGCTGACGGGTGATGGTGCTGTTGGGGGTGTTCTTCTTCCATGGCTGTTGAAAGGGAATTGTTTTGAAAATGCCCCATCTAGTGTTAGGGACCATGCACTTAATACGTAAGATTTTAATGGTCCCTAATTTTTTTTATATCGCTGAAATCGGGTCCCAAAAAATAAACGACTTACTGGATGAATCACCCCAATTGCCTTTGAGAAAAATGATCTCTTCTATTGGCAAATCAAAGTTGGCACCAGTGATGCAAAATATCATGACACTCGTCTTCGCATCAACCGACTATCGCTGACAGATCGTTTTGTCACTCAGTGAGAGTTAGAGCCATGGCAAACAACAATCACCAGTAATGGTCGCTGCTCAAAAGCAAAACGTTACACTCGCTGCTGATAATGAAAAGCACAACGAAAACAGTGAAGACTTCTGCAGTACGATCATGAGATAAAGCGAAACGACAGAAGAAAATGAAAACAATGCCTACGCATTCCAAGTTTGTCTGGGCAGGCGCGACTGTGTGAGTTACAAACAAAGCAGGCAACTTTAAACGGAAGCTGTTGGACTCACTCACCAACACACTCACATAAGCAAGCAAAGCAGCAACTGCTTCAAAACGAGCACAGATGAGTGTCGTGATTGTCGGGAATGACCAGATCGGTGATGGATCACAACAGAAGACGACATTCACCAGTTGCTTTTTACTTCTTTCGTCAACTTGATGGATGGTCATGGAGAGAGCTTCGACGAGCACATTGATAGGAATGTACAAAGCGTTACTACCATCAGCTGTTTGATGATAATGATTGTGATAGGTCGCAACTCTGGTTGGGACCCGAGGAGAATAGAAGAACTATGAGAGTGATGATGGTTTCAACATTTTACACGGTGAGGTATACGAGTGCAATCTTAAAATGCTTTTATATTGCAAATGGAGCATTTTATTTAAATCTGGTTGATGCTATGTTAGTAGAAAACTTAAGGACTACTCAATAGACATATAATACAGAAACATTAATTTGTTTGTTTGTTTTGTAGCAGCAACCAGATGTAAATAAAATGCTCCATTTGCAAAATAAAAGCATTTTAAGATTGCACTCGTATGCTTCCCCGTGGAAAATTTTGAAACCATCATCATTTTTATAGTTCTTCTATTCTCCACGAGTGCCAACTTTGATTTGCCAATTAGGGAAAAAGTTGGCAGATTCATGATAACTACAAATCGAAATCAATGACACCTCACTGCAAAACAGTTATTCAGGCCTATTATGCGCGCCGTGTGAGGTGAGGCGACACGCTGTGACTTGTGAAGTGACAATTCTTGCGTCACCTTTCAAATAGACCAATCTACATTGATCGATTCTTTTCATCCACTCTCTATAGGCGAATCCAAAAGAAACTAAGCGATCATTTCAGCCTCTGGCGGTTAATAGTGGAACCCTCAAAAGAGTGATGAGGGTGGAAATTTTCACCGTGAAGCATAGTAAGAGCACAATATTTTCACCTTTCCTGATTAATGTATCCACCGCAGGTGCTTGAAATCATCATCCACGTGGAATATTTTGTTTTCTGTATTGGGTTTGCAGTGATCCGGCTGGTGCTTCCATATATTTTTGATGAGAAAAATTGAGATTTATAAAATTGTCCCAGCGGTTATGATCTTCCGGATTTTTAATGTGTGGTTATTTCAGCTGGAAATCAGTTCAGATCTGTAGATAATCGAAAAATATGACCACTCCCGATGGAAATTTGCAAGTTGTGCCATAGAATGTATATTTTTTTGAGTTATGAAAATCGTCATTATGATGCAAACAAATGGATTGGATGACATTTTCTTTAAAAATTGGCTAGCGCACTCTACATTGATGGTGCATGGAAAGAGCCTTTTGAAGTGACAATTCCACAGTGAGCATGCATAAGGGCGTAACCGTGATGATCGATTTTCTCTTTTGTTAATAACTCGCTTGGATTAACATTTCTTTGTGCTTTTGTTGATGCTTTTGATAGCCAATACAACAATTGAATCACTGTATTGAACAAATTTCAGAAAAATGCTTCCCTTAGCTGTAGCAATTTAAAGAGACAATCGATGAAGAGAATCGATCATCGCAGATGGGCCCTTGTGCATGCTCATTGTCGAATTGTTACTTCATGGACAGCCTTACTTACATGATCAGGTGGAACAAGTGCTAAGGTTATTGCTACCTCCTAGTATAAGGTTTCTTGTTCAGCGTTCAGCGGTCATAATGCAGAAGACCGAACCTGCGGTCATCGCGTCCGTCGCGCGGCTCTGGGCGTGTGATCCGAACGGGTGGCTTCGGACACAATACGCCGGTGTCAGTAAGACATCTGGATACTCCAAGTCATGGACAGTATAGTCGCTGTATTCATAGTCTGGCGGATAGAATTTCGATCTATCAAAAAGCGGAACCAATTCAATATATAATTAGACCAACAATTGAAAAGGCACTTTACTTTTATAAACAAAACGTTGATTATTCTTTCCTCGCCAACCAAACGCAAATTACCGGCATAATCGGCAACTTTCCTCAACCCAAAGATGGTTTTAGTTTGCGTATGCGAGCCCTTGAGTCAAGAGAAAAGGGTTTCCGAAGTTTTGTTCACAATAGCTGATGTGCTCTTTTCTGTTGTTGGTCGTGATTTGCTCGATTGGTTCCGCTATTTGACAGCGCAATTGGTTCCCGAGATTCTATCCGCCAGACTATGAATATAGTGAAAATAATGGACAGTGCCAGGTGCGGAGTTTGACTGGGGCGATACATTTCCGAAACAATAACAGAGGTGTCTAAAGGTCAGCGCAGTGTGGACCGAAACCCAGGCTTGCTAAAAACTCCTCAAACTCACTGGAGGTTTTAAAAAACTCTTGACCTGCGAGTTTAGCCAGCCCTCACCTCGAGTGAGTGGCGGCAGGAATATGGAAGAAGTAAACAAAAACTCCTCGGGAGAGAGAGGGAGAGTGAACTTCCGCGAGAGGATGATTAGACTTTTCGAGATTCCGGATGACGATTTTGTTTGACGCAAGAAGCTCAGAGTTCACCCAGAGTGAGAGTAAGAGCATAAAGATAACTCTAAGACTAGTAGGTCCCGAAGAAACGTACTCAACTTTTTGGCTCAGCTCTGGTACTATCTTCGGTCCCAAGCTAATCGATTCACCCCTCGAAACATAGGAAAATCCACTAACCCCTCATTTTATCTGTCAAACTTTCATAGCGAATCAAAACAAACATTGTGTAGTACTAGAATTTTGACTAGAATGGGGTACGTTAATCGATTTGCTTGGGACCAATAGGCTAGTCAAGTAGTGAGCCAATTTAAAATCGTTAGTTTCGTATTGATTGTTGGTAAGAGCGTGTGATATAAAACATGAACACGAATGGCAGAAAACCTCACTCTCATTTTATTCCCCTTTGCTCACAAGTTCTGAAGTTCAGTGGAATGATTTGGCAGTAGACATTCTACTCCTCAGAAAAATGCTACGCTCGGCTCATTTCATCCATCAAGCCTGCAGAAACCAAACGCTGAGCATAAGGATGAAAGCTAAGAGGAAGAGGAGACAATAGGGGGTCTTTTTTTTAACCAATTTTCTATCAAACGCGAACCAGCGTCTGATTGGTCTGGTGAACGTATAGAAACGCGAAAATTTTTACAACAGGGAATCTATTTTCTTGTATTTTGAAATTAGACTGCGCCGCCCATAATGAAATAGTTTTTGCACGGTCGTTTCCGCGAGAGAAGAAGAACACGTCACAGATAAAAAGAAGCCAGTTGTCTCCTCTTCCTCTTAGGATAAAAGCTGGCTTGATCTCCATGTTCAGTACACATTGATACAGCGAAAGCTAGGCCTCACGATGCTTTTGGTTTGAAGAGTTTTTTAGCAAGAGGTGTCAGAAAAGTTGATCTTTCGATGTCGGCTTTTCCTATCATTGTGAAGCAACATTCACAAAGCGTAGGGTTGTTCTGATGGGATTTCATTATTATCATATAACCATCTTTGTCAAACCGAACCAAGACGTGAATACAAGTGCTTTGTATCCGTAAAAGTGTCCGTGTTTATTTATTTCCACTGTGTGTAGGGTTTTCCACTGTGTGTTGTGTCATCTTTTGCCCACATGTTCACCCTTTCAAGGGAACGTGAGCTGGGTTTCGACCGTCATGAGACAGGTTAGTTTTACCCTAAGAGGAAGAGGAGACAACTGCCTTCTTACTCTTTTATCTATCTCTCTCTCTCTCTCTATATATATATCTATCTTACGCACTTCAAATCGGCCAATCACGAGCTGGTTCGCGTTTGACAGAAAACTGGTTCGTTTTCGCCCCCGTATTATCTTCTCTTCCTCTTAGGTTTTACCCTCCTGGTGTGCCATATTGTTGCGCTATATTTACAGAATTGCAGTGCAGTACGAGAGGAACCACAGCTACGGTCGCCGGGTAAAGCAGGTGCATAAGAATGCCTATCAATGGTTGTTGGGTTCTGCCCTGACCGGCGATTTGCGACCTCTGTGCACCTGAACTCCGATTCTTACCTCCACGCGGTGCCCGGTGGGATTGCTGGCGGTGATATTTGCCGTCAGTAATGCGAACAAGAACGGGGGATCATCGTTGTCACCAAAGCACTACTGTCAATTATCGGTAGTGCCCGTGATGACGATGACAGAGCAATAAGGTTATTGCCAACTCTCGAAGTAGCCCGTGATTATCGCTACCTGGGGATGCTAACCGGCTCGGTCTGGTTACGACTTGGCCGTCCTGAATGAACTATATCCACCTTCTCAAGGTGGTTTGTTTAAAAGGACGTTAATAAATGGAAGCACAGCTACGGTCGAAGGATAACGTCAACAACAAGTTGAATATCCTTCGGACCCTAAATGGTCGCTTCTCTGAAGCCTCTCGTAGTACATTGACCAAGGTTGCTAGGGCTCTGGTTGTCCCTAGCATCCTTTACGGGGCGGAACTGTGGAGCAGGGGTGGTGTCTCCCTGCTCAAGATTCTGGAACCTCAGTACAATGAGGCGTACAGAATCTGTAGCGGAGCGCTGAGGTCTTCACCAATAGCTTCTCTGTTGGTGGAGAATGGAAAGGTTCCTTTGGTGAATGTTGTCACCGAAAACCTGGCTACCAAGGCGCTAAGGCTCCTAGAAAGGGATCCCATTCTCAATGACAGGCCCACGGTTGCAAGGGCGAGAGAATGATGGAGCGACTTGACGGGAGTAGATCTTCCCACGTTAGCCCAGCGAGCTAGGCTGTGGCAACGGGCATGGGATGCTACTGCCCCAAAAGTTGATTGGAGGGTTAAAGCTATGTGCGGGGCGGGGGCTAGCTCTAGTGTGGCGAAAGCTGCATTTAGGGAGGTCGCTGCCTCATACGAGGGAAGGCTCAAGCTATTTACGGACGGTTCATTAATCGAAGAGGAGGTTGGTTATGGGGTGTCTGGGGAGGACATAAGCCGCTGCGGCCGGTTACCCGGTCTCTGTGGTATCTTCTCAGCTGAGGCCTATGCTCTCCTGCAAGCTTGTAGGCTAGCAAATGGGTCTCAGGCTGTTGTATTCTCTGACTCTGCGAGTTGTCTCTCTGCCCTTGAGCATGGGCAGGTTGGACACCCGTGGCTGTTAGAGGTGCAACGGTACGCTAACATAACCTTTGTATGGGTACCTGGACACGCAGGTATACCAGGGAATGAGGCTGCTGATAAACTAGCTAACCAGGGTCGTCTTGCTCGACTAGAGGCCACTCCGGTGCCCTATAGTGACGCTACCCGCTGGGTGAAGCAGACCTCGCGATACGCATGGAATGTGTCTTGGCATAACAACCGTGATGCATTCCTGCGTCGTATCAAGAACACTACACAAGAGTGGAAGGATGCACCTAATTCTCGAGATCAGAAAGTTCTGACTCGGCTCACTCATGGACCTCGATTTAGCGGCAGTGTGGCCTACTGCCAGGGATGCGGTGCGGTATTAGATGTAAATCATCTATTGGTAGAGTGCCCGGCAAGAGCACAATTAAGGGAAGATATGGGTGTCGTTGGTTCAATCCGTGAGGTATTGTTCAACGACAGGAGTACAGAGCAAACTGTACTCAACTCCTGAGGGCGTTAGACTTATACGATATGATATAAGCATGAGTAAGTTGAAGTGGCATTAGAAAGAAAATGACTGGTAGTCATGCCACTTCATTCGACAAGAGGCAGTCTTTAAGGTCCTAAAGACCAAGGTGTGTGAGGGAGGACGACCGACCTAACGGGGGACACAATGATGAAACAGCTGATGTTTAAAACCCGTCTCGAATGAACTAAATTCTCCTCTTGTAGGGGAACAGTTTAAAGAGACGTTAATAGACGTATCCACAGCTACGGTCGGTGCCGGGTAAAGCAGGTTGTTGGGTTCTGCCCTGACCGGCGATTTGCGACCTCTGTGCACCTGAACTCCGATTCTTACCTCCACGCGGTGCCCGGTGGGGTTGCTGGCGGTGATATTTGCCGTCAGTAATGCGAACAAGAACGGGGGATCATCGTTGTCACCAAAGCACTATTGTCAATACATCGGTAGTGCCCGTGATGACGATGACAGAGCAAAAAGGTTATAGCCAACTCTAAGTAGCCTGTGATTATCGCTACCTGGGGATGCTAACCGGCTGGGTCTGGTTACGACTTGGCCGTCCTGAATGAACTATCTCCACCTCCTCAAGGTGGTTTGTTTAAAGAGACGTTAATAAATGGAAGCACAGCTACGAATACAGTTTAAAGAGACGTTAATAGATGGAAGCACAGCTACGAAACCGTCCTTAATGAACTCAATCTACCTCATCAAGGTGGATGTTTAAAAGGACGTTAATAGATGGAAGCACAGCTACGAAAGGGAAGAAACGGGTGACGTTGGTTCAATTCGTGAGGTATTGTACAATGACAGGAGTACAGAACAGACTGTACTCAATTTCTTGCGGGCGGTTGATACGACTTGATATAAGCTTATGTAGATTGAAGTGGCATTAGAAAGAAAATGACTTGTATAGTCACCTCACTTCTTTTTGACAAGTGGGTAGTCTTTAAGGTCCTAAAGACCATGGTGTGTGAGGGAAAGCGACAATGGGGAGCTATTTAAAGCTCCCTTATGCCGTCTCGAATGAACTATTATTCTCCTCTACCAGGAGAACAGTTTAAAGGGACGTTAATATAATTAAGCACAGCTACGAACTAATGGCTCAATACTAGTTCGACCGGACTTTGGTATAACGCTACGTTCGTTGGATTATGCCTGAACGTCTTGTCGTAACCAAAACGAGCTGACAGTGTCCCCCATAGGTGGTCAGCCTACGCGCGCGGCATCGTACAGCAAGTGACAATTCGACACGCCGCGCAAAATAGGCCCAATTTATCAAGTTCTAAAAAGCTCAGTTACCCAATCTTGTATAGGGAATACAGTCAATGTTAACATAGGGGACCCGTCTTCAGCGAGAATTTGCACTCTGCGGAAGTGAGACAACCAGTGTCAAACCTAGCATAACTTACGGGTTTTGAGTTGTTGTTGTTGCTGTTGCAACAGTTGTTGTTGTTGTTGCTGCTGCTGCTGTTGCTGCGCCGACTTCTTGCGATAGTTTTGGGTGAAAACCCGTGGTGACGATGGCACTGAGATTGCACTGGGCGATTGGCAGTCCTCCGGTTTGAACTGGGGTAGCGTTTTGAACTTCTTCTCGAAGTCAACCTGCCGGAGAACACTGCACAAGAAACGGACAATATTATTAATACATTAACCTATGGCTAGACCAGTTCCGGGCCAAATACGATAAAAACATATTTTTGTTTTGATTCGACCTTCTCCGATTTGAATTGAACTTTGCATAATTCTTGATAGAGCTGGAATTAGGGCGAAACAGCTTTGTAAACAATGACTTCTTTCCATGTTTTCTAGAAAGTCAAGGCTAGCCAACGCAAATCTACATCACCATCGGGTAGAGGAAGACTTCCTCTACCCGATGGTAATGTTAGTTTGTGTGGGCGTACCCTGAATTTCTACAAATCATCGAGAGAAGTCATTGTTTACAAAAGCTGTTACGCCCTAATTACGGCTCTATCTAGAATTGTGCGTTATGGGCAATCATTAATATTTTTGCCAGAAATCGCCCATTTTGGATGTTGTAATTTTCTTTAAAATTGCGTCTTTGACATTTTACAATAAATTGTTGCACAAAACCGTCATTTTTGATCGGAATGACATCTAAAATGGTCGAATTTCGTAAAAATGTGAATTATTGCCTATAACACACAATTATGCAACTCAGAGAAGGTCGCGTTTTTTCGAACCGTAATTTGGCGTGAAACTGCTCCTAATCATTCTGCTGACAGCCAGCGCTATACTCACTTATCCATATCGTCCGGTTTGACCTTTTTGAAGAAGTTCTTCGTCTTGACTGTTGGCGAAATCTGTGGACTCTGGAAATCGTCGTTTGTGGCCGATGTGGGTGTCGGCAGTGCGGATGGCATCTGTGCCGACGGTTGATGGGTGCTTCCATTGCTGTTGTCACTGCTGTCGCCAGCGTTCTGATGCTGGTTCTGACCGGACGAATTGCTGCTATTGCTCATTTGCCGTCGTTGCAGCGGAGCACGGCCCAGCTGAGCCGGAGTCGGGGCCAGGATGAACTTCTTGCTCTCGGGAGTATCGAAGTCATCGTCAGTCTCATCGGATGCCCCTCCGGGCGCAACTGGTTCAGAGGGATCGTGCTGTTCGGTCGTGTCCATCATTGGAGGCACCGCAGACGAAGAGCACGAAGTGGGCGTGACGGGGAAGTTTCTTCCACCAGGCGATTCTGGCGGTTCCTGTTTAATGTTCATCAGCTGGGGCTGTTGCGGTTGGTGTTGTTGGTAGGCCTGTGGTGCGGGTGTAGAGATGAGAAGGTTCGGTATTTTTCCTTGTATCAAATATTGTACTGGTTGGAGTGTTGCGGTAGTTGTACTTGATGATATGGCTGGCTTCAATTGCTGTCCCTGCACCATCGAGGAAGTGGTTAGTGCGTAAGCGGTTGAAGCTGCTAGTCCTGGCACGGCAGAGGAATTCAGGGACGAACCCGAGGAAGAGGACAGGGAAGTACACGAAGAGGTAAGAGAGACCGCCGAAGAGGAAGCAGTGGATGAGGAGGAAGAGGAAATGGCAGATGAAGTGGCGAACAGTTTCGAGCGGTCGTTAAGAGCGTATTGTTGGTTGTCGGGTAGGACGAGCGTAAACTGGAATCGAGATAGATCGGTAGAATCGGTTAGACGGGTGTTAAGCGGAAGGAGAAAACAGATAGGGGTTAGATGAAGCAATGCGGATTTCGGTATGACGTTCATGCAAGATTTTCGGTTGATGGAAATTGGCTAACATTGACAAAATTACAGGTACGTTTAAAAGTGGGCCACTGGGCACATGTGAAAAACCAGTTTTATCGATTTATTGAGATCCAGGTAACTAGTTCTGGTCTTCAGTAAAGTTGTTTAGATGGACAAAGGCTACTTGGTAAAACGCAGTTTGGTTTGAAGTTAAGGCCCACTCACATTAGATCCGGATCGGACGCGTTGCGGCAAAGTGACAGCTAAATCGATTGTCTAACTGTCAAATTTACTCAACGCAACGCAAACGGATCTAATGTGGGTGGCCCTTTATAGCGACACTAGCGTTATTAGTTTTGCTTACCCAACATAAATTTAGCATAAGGACGTTTGGTAGAACGGGTTTTGAACGTAAGAGCTAATTTAGTATCTATGAGTATTCCTTCTTTTAATTACTGCTCGTTCTTGCACACATTTCAAACTGTTTTTCAATGTTCCTTTAGGGCTCGGTAGACTGCTCTTGTTTAAAAGAAGGAAACATCTGCTGCAACAATACTAGCTAAAATGTTATCCTCTACACACTAAGATTATTTCACCGAAATCTGTGAAATTTTACAGAAATCTCAACAGCTGAACTTTCGGTAAACAGTTCGGTGATTTTTTACAGATTTCCAGTAATTTTTCACCGAATAAAAATTATAGGAAATCTGTGATAAATCACCGAACTGTTACCTAACGTTCAGCTGTTGAGATTTCGGTAAAATAATGTTAATGTGTAACACTATTCTGGATACCAAAGGAAAACTTTTCAAAACTTCTTAATTAAATAATAAACAAATAATCTTTTAACAATATTATAATGAAAAGCAGTTGCGTCACATAACCTTGCTGTTTACTTGTGGACCAATTTTAAAAACGTGATAGGGGTAAGAGGGACATAGTGAACAGGTGGGGCATAGTGAGCATCTCGTGCACCAGCTTGAACTTCCGGCCGTTCGGGAAAAAAAATGGTTGGTGGTAGGATCAATATCATAGTGATATTGAACCTACTACCAGTTGATTTGTTCCATGCAGCTGGAGATTCAAAGTCAAACTGCGGGATGCTCACTATGCCCCACCTGTTCAGTATGCCTATGCTATGTATAGAACAAAATTGTAACAAAAATAAACGAGATAAAAAGTTGGTCTCAAAGAGAGAGTTGGAGCATAGAGGTAACTCTAAGACCAGAAGGTCTCGAAGAAACGTGCTCAACTTTTTGGCTCAGCTCTGGTACTCTCTTCGGTCCCAAGCTAATCGATGTACCCTTCGAAACATAGGAAAATCCACGAACGTTGTACAGCGCTTTGACGGTTAGCTGAAAATGAAGACAACCTTAACAGATATAGACCAACTACCTGCACGAATATGAATTTTGACATAACAACATTCTCTTTATCAAAGCAATCTCTGAGTTTTTTTTTTTTTAACTTTATTAGAGAGATTGTGCCACCTCTGAGTATTGAAGTTAACATTTCCGGAGTCATTTGAGATTTGTGCGTAATTGCATTTGTAAACAAACACGTCAATCACCGATTTCTCGCGAATAAAAGCTCAATCTCGAAAAGTAATAACACTATGAGGTAGAGGAATGTTTCCTCTATCATTTGGTATAGTTTGTTTGTGAGATTGAGCTTTTATTCAAGACAAATCAGTAATTGACGAATTTGTTTACAAAAGCAATTACGCCCAAATCTCAAATCACTCCGGATTTGTTTTTCTTCATTCGTGGCTGGATGTTCATTATCGCCTTTGTTGTTGTCAATATTAATAATCGGCTTCATCTTGGTGGGGATGATTTTGAAGATCAATTGCAAAATAATGTGTCGTATGGTTTTTACACACAGATCGATGGCAAATTATTGCCTCATGCTGAATTGATGATAATATCGAGGTTTTAGGCTCTGGTGTCAACAATACTTAAAATAATCAATTTGGTAAAATTTTAAAAACGCCATATTGTAAAACAGCAAAAAAAAGGTTATCTTCTATTTAATTCCACTTCATTAATTTTGGTATCCATGACAGATACGTATTTCGACTACAATGTGCAGTCTTCATCAGTGTCATTCCCGCTAACAACCCAATTTCATTACTTCACGCCATATTGATTAAGTCTTTCAGCAACAATTTTTTTAAACCATAATCGACCGCATTACGAAAAGTGGTCAGGTTTTGACCACATATGACTCTGTCAATAGCAGATGATGTGTATTCAGGGTATAAGGACAATCCCCAGCTGGCGAGTGCGCAAAGGTGCATAAGATAAGCGTAGTGGAGACTGGTGGCTTGCCCTATTTACTGCGGCTTGTTGACCACCAATGTCGATGTTGAAGATGGCATCGTCATTGGCGCGATTGGGAAGCGTATGTTTGTCGAGCGTAACGAAGATGATCCTCTGCAGCAGATTACGAGGCTTTGGATGATGATCGAGAATAACTCCATTGGGAAGACGTTGAGGGTGAAGGTCAAACCGATGGTGTACTCCAAGCTCGGTGTTTTACAACCTGAGTGGACTCCCATCGCTAGGAGATCAGCAAACATCAGCCTTAACGGTGGAGAATTCAATTTCCGGTGGAGAGTGCATGTGCTCTTACGGTACATAAGTCCCAAGGAGGCACGTTCGCAGAAGTTTTTTTTTTTAATTATGAGAAAAGCCAGGAACAACAACACTGGTTTACCTTGGCCTTTCCAGGGCTACTTAAATCAAAAGGTCTATACTTGACGAACTTCAGCAATGTTTTCAAGTTCCACCATGGGAAAGGCCCTAAAATGCCGAGAATTCGCTCTCCGAACAGAGCTTGAGCGTTGGAGTAATCACCGTCTGCGCACCATCGGAGAGGATGTCATGGAAGCCATAACTTCAAAGAGAACAACTGCTTGTGTATGCTGATGAGTATAAATGTGCAAAGTTTCCTCAGATATTGCAACAGATCGTGTTCTCTCCACTGTTTATTTACTTGCGTTGAGTGAAACTTGGCATCACAACTGTACAAGCACATCTAGAACTGGATTCGGCTACATCACCCAAGAAAAACGTGCGTGACGGAACAAGACCTGGAGGGGTAGCCATCTTTCAGGACACTGGTGCATCTATCATGGCCGGTTCTCACGTCATCGGTAAGATTTAATTTTTAGTTTAGAATTTTAGTCATGGGAACTCGCACGATGCTGTTTCCGTTGTTCATTTCACCAGGTATAAAACAGAAAATATTCATGTAGGGGAAATGGATGTAATGTCGGTCTAAATGCCCTTAATTTGGGCCAACAATGGCTCTAATATTGGCCTATGGATCTAAGATTGGGCCCATTGATTAAAATCTGCTACAAAACTACTACTACTACTACTGGTCTCAAAGAGAGAGTTGTAGCATAGAGGTAACTCTAAGACTAGTATGTCCCGAAGAAACGTGCTCAACTTTTTGGCTCAACTCTGGCGAAATCCATCTTCGGTTCCAAGCAAATCGATTCACCCCTCGAAACATATTTTCTGTCAAACTTTCATAGCGAATCAAAACAAACATTGTGTAGTACTAGAATTTTAACTAGAATGGGGTACGTTAATCGATTTACTTGGGACCAATAGGCTAGTCAAGTAGTGAGTCAATTTTAAATCGTTAGTTTCGTATTGATTGTTAGTTTTACTGCTCACGGAAAATTTTCAAATATTGTTCCTCGAGAAATGAATATAAAAATATATTGAAGTTTGATGGTCGAGGAGATATGCAACAAGCCATATCATTGGTGTTAAAAAATTTTATTTTTTTTTATTATTATAGTCATTTTAACGCTCTTGGGTCGTTTCGTGACTTGTCCGGGGGTGAGATTTGAACTCGTGACTTTGGCGTGAGAGGTATGGATGCTAACCACTACGCCGAGGTCGCCCCTTGTTAAAGTTTTGACATATATTTAAAAAAAATCATTATCAATAACATCCACAATTTTTCGGGTCGATGATGAGGTGGGCAAAACAGCTCATCTGACTGAGTCGATCAGACCCGTCCAGCTCAATAAGGGAAGCTGATTCTTCTGAACAGCTCTTCAGCTGACATTAAAATTATAGAAATTTCAAAATCGTAATCTATAAAAACCATTTATTTGGGTTTGGTGACCCTAAACCAATAGAGCTATAACTTAAAAATACATAAAATAGTAAAAGTAATCTAAACCAATAAATCCGCAGCTTACAACATTGCTCTACTTTTCAATTGAAAACGCCCCTAATGCATCAGCTGAACAACCACCGCGAAAACTATATTCGAGAAATCTATAACACTATATCACACGCGATGATAGAATTGACGCCTTTTCTCATGTCATGCTATGCAATTCAGTCTGCGCACAGATTTTAATGCTGATGTTAATTCTCCAGCAAAATTGCTCTCACCATTCTCGGCTCAGATCCGGTTCCGGAGGAGAATCGTGAAGAATCGAGAGAAGAAAAAAAGATCCGAAGAGCTCGACGGATCCGAGAGCTGTCATCCTGAACAGCTCCCAGTGAATCATTCGGGTCGATGATTCAGATCCGGAGCTGAGCTGTGAGGTGGAGAGCTGCATTTCGCTGTTCTCGGTTATCTGCTTTTGTGCGGATCTTCCGCTCCCCCAGAGAATGATGGGAAGAGAGATGAGAGCACATATGCTGCAGCAATAACATCAGCAATAAGAACAGGGAACGTAAATACATTGGATAATATCAGTAGACATTTTACATACATGGGTAGTATAAAACATGTAAATATGTATCTCTCCCATAAAGTCGCTTGGAAGTTTGCTTTTACCGTTGATGCTATCGATCACATGTTGTATTACGCACGCATCTTGGTTTACGCGGTAGCTGTTCAATGCGTAAGTGGAGTGTGGAGTTGTTTTAGACTTGTTATATCAGTGAGCTAATGAGCTGCCGTGGGTTATCAGCTCACTTTAGTGAATCAAGTCTTTAGAACAGCTCGGGAGCGGATCGCAAATCTCTAATTCGAATCCAGAGCTGAGCTGTGAGGCGGAGAGCTGCATTTCGCTTTTCGGTTATTTGTTGTTGTGCGGATCTTCTGCTCTTCCAGAGAATGATGAGAGGTGAACTGGAGAAGTAACATTAGCAATAAAGCTGGGTTTAGACTAGGCAAGTCAAATGATCAACTCAGTTGAATTCAATTGGCTTGAAAAGTTGAGCCTGGTTTAACTTTTTTTCAATTCAAGTGAGTTGATCAAGTCAGTTCAATAGCATGATTTACACGTTCAATTCGCGTTCAAGTCAGTTGTATTCAACTGACTTGATCAATCGACATTTGCCCTGTCTAAACCCAGCTTAAGAGCCGGGTACGTAACTCATACATTGGATAATACCAGTAGAGATTTACCATCGTGTAACACATGTACATGTCTCCCCATACAGCCGCTTGGAAGTTTGCTTTTACCGTTGATGCTATCGATCAGCAGGCACGCGTGCATCTTGGTTTACGCGGTGGCTGTTCAATGTGTAAGTAGAGTAATGAGTCATTTTCTGAAAGCTTCCGCTATAAGTGCCCTAATAAACGGCTACCATACACTGACGATATCATAGATGGTACTACCATACCACATACGGTTGGGATGATATCCCGAATTGGTGGTTAGGCGCTTCTTATAGTTATTGTTTATGCGGGTGATGGAATGGTTTAGCCTCGTGATATCAGTGAGCTGATGACCTGCGGTTTCTAAAAAATGAACCGCGGGTCATCAGCTCACTTTAGTGAATCGGGTCTTTAGAACAGCTCGGGAGCGGATCGCCTATCACTACTATGAAGCAAAGGGCTTGGCTAATGAAATCTACTCGAGTGTACCTATTTTCAAAACACTACTGTCTGCCTAGAATCCCATATCAGTCCCATATGGAAAAAAGTAGGCATTGAGAAAATAGCAGTCAAAGTTACGGAGTGCAATTTCCATGTAAATATTTGAAAATTCATAGGGTAGGTGTACCAGTTATGGCCATACGTTCCTATTATGGTGTGTTCAAGTTAGCCTATGGAATTCCCATATGTCATAATTGGAACACACCATAATAGGAACGTATAGCCATAACTGGTACATCTACCCTAGCAAATTATTTGATATTTTTTTCGAGTTATAATCAGTTGCAATGAAGTTTGATTATATCAGCGAAAAATGCGGTAATTCAAAAAGCAGAACTGTAATTTGAAAATGGAATTTCCTATTGGGACTGATATGCGATTACTTTGCTTGATGCAGGGTGGCCAGTGAATTTTCATTTTGAAATTCCCGGTTTTTTCCGGTTTAAATCTCAAAATATTCCCGGTTTTTTTTTTAATATTTAGTAAAAATAATAATTCAATATTACGCTATTTTCGAGGTACTTAGAATCACTTTTTATTTTAGACTCAAGTCCTCTTATGATAGTAAAGCGCCAGAATTTACAAAGTACCAGATTCATGGATTTTTTTAAAGTCGCATAGCCGAACGCTATCGGGCTGAATGGGTCACTATACAGAATTTTAGAGGAAGAGATTAAATTAGGAAATTGTTTTAAAAATCTTGAACTTGATACTGCGCAAGACATTTGTTCAAAGTATCAAATAAAATCTTAAAAACAATTTTAATGTCTATGATTCTGAGGCTTTGACATGTGTTTAGAGTCTTAGAATATGCCACTTATGAGATTTGTGACTTATGAAAATCTATCCGAGATTTGAAGAAAAAAAAACAGTCTTGGATTTTTTTTTCCAACAATACGAAACTGAGAAAAAATAGTCAAAATGTGGGATTTTGAAAATGTTTCTAGATCCACGATTTAGACATATTTCGAGATACCATATTTGAAAAAAATGCAGTCCCTGGAAAATTTCGTGGCCTTGGAAAAATTTTCAGGGTTCTAATAATTTATAGATTTTTTTTTAGAATTTTGAAAATTCAAAGTTCTGAGAAGAACTCAAAGAAAAAAATCAACGGAGCTCTGACAAGAATCCCAAACCAATTCTAGGATTACGTCCTGACGAACTCTTAGAAGAACTACAAGGGAGTTGTGGGGAGAAATTCAAGGAGAATTCCTAGCTGATTCTGAAGAGCAGTGTTGGCTAAAATCAAGATCAGAAAATCAAAATCAGCAATCTTTCAAGATCAATATCACCTAAAATCACAGGCACCAATATCACAAGCCATCATCACCATGAAAATCACACATGATTTTCGTCCATTATCAGCCGTGATTTTCGATTCTCAAAATCAACCAGCATCAATATCAACCAAGATCAAAATCATCGAAAATCTTAGGATTAGAAGATATGTGAAATTCTAGAGTTTGGGGCACTTCCGAAATTCAAGTCAACATTCCGGATGAAATTAAAATGGCGGATTTCAACCCAAGATGGCTCCCACAAATTCAAGATGGTGGACCAAAATCCTATATGGCGGCCCCTGGACAGGGAATATACATCTAAACCCATGCAATATGGGTATCTACGGAATGGGCTCGATGAGGGGAAGTGGAAAATTGGCATCCGCCACCATTATGGAATCCAAGATGGCGGACCAAAATCCAATATGGCAGACCAAAATCCAATATGGCGGATCAAAATCCAATATGGCAGCCCCCGGACAGGGAATATGCATCTAAAGCTATGCAATATGGGTATCTGCGGAATGGGCTCGCTAAGTGGAAGTGGAAAATTGACATCCGCCGCCATTTTGGAATTCAAGATGGCGGCCCCGGACAGGGAATATGCATCTAATTTCAAAATGGTGGCGAATGTCAATTTTCCAGTTCCCCTCATCGATCCCTGTCCGGAGCCGCCATATTTGATTTTGGTCCACCATCTTGGATTTCAAAACGGCGGCGGATGTCAATTTTCTTCTTCCTCTCATCGAGCCCATTCCGTAGATACCCATATTGCATGGGTTCAAATGCATATTCCCTGTCCGGAGGCCGCCATATTGTATTTTGGTCCGTTATCTTGGATTTTAAAATGGCGGCGGATGTCAATTTTCCACTTCCCCTCATCGAGCTCATTCCGTAGATACCCATATTGCATGGGTTTAAATGCATATGCCCAGTCCGGGGGCTGCCATATTGAATTTTGGTCCGCCATCTTGAATTCCAAAATGGCGGTGGATGTCGGTTTTTTACTTTGACTGTAATACCAAGCTATTGATTTTCCGTTTGGTTTTTTGTTACCTCAAAATCAGCCAAGGTTAAAATCAGCCGTGATTTTCTGTTTGTGATTTTGCTGATCTCAAGATCAGCAGTGATTTCGACCGTTCCTGATTTTGGATTGTCTTGATTTTTTTTTCCATCACTGCAGTGAAGAGAATTGTATGCGGATTATTATGAGAATTTTAACGAGAATTTAAAAATAATTATAAACAGCATTTAAAGGGTTTTTTTTTGGTAATAATTTCAAATGAACACTAAGGAAGATTTATAATAGAACTTTAGGCAAGATCCGAGAAAAATGCTGAAGGATTCGTGTTCTGAGGTAAATAAAGAAAAATGCGGAAGAATTTAAATTAAAAAAGTTTTAAGAGGAGAATTCCAAAGAATTTCTGGGGAGAGTTTTGCTAAAGGTCAAATAAATTCAAATGTTTAAGATAATTAAGAGCTGAATAAACCGTAAGCTGATGAAACATATGTTTGCTTGATTAAGCGCTAGCTGTTATTCAAGGTTTAATTTTTGTTGGAATATGTCAAGGTTTATTGATTTTTCCCGATTCTCCCGTCAAATTCCCGGTTATTTTCCGGTTTTCCCGGTTCGCTGGCCACCCTGTTGATGGGACAAAATGTTGTTTTCACATTTTTAAGATCCAAGTTCGTAGTTCTATACATAATATGAAAGTAGATAACAATTGATAGTGGGTAGCGTTGTTACCTCAAAATTGACGAAAATCCATATGAGACTGATGTGCAATTCTAGACAGTGTACTACCCGAAGTCATATGGATAGTAGCTAGTCTTCCCCAAAAAACTATTCCGCTGAATGGCCGTATTCTTACCTTATAGCTATATCTGCTTCTGTCTGAACAGTTCAGCAATTTTGCCAAATTCGACATGTAAAGCGTCGCAACTAGTTCCAATTTCGAAAACTTGAAATCCAACTTCCATCAACCGCGGTTTTGATCATATTTTAGTGTTAGTGTCGCCTTTTTTTATGAAAGTCGTCACCGACGTGAATGGAGACTCACCTGCGGATTATTTGCATTCACTGCAAACATAAACTTCTGCCTACCGGCGGCAGCGGCTGCGGCCAGTAGCTGATTTGACGTGAGAATGGAGGTATTTTCGCCGTTGGATCCAGCGGAAAATTGCTGCTGATGCTGCTGCTGCAGTTGTTGCTGATGGTGATGATGTTGGTGCTGGAGGTGCTGTTGCTGCTGCTGCTGCTGAACTGACGCCGACGGAGATGGCACAACTGTTGAATTTGTTGGATTAATCATTATAATTGATTGCTTGATATGGTGATGACTGAGGTTGAGGTTAGAGTTAGTAGTAGTAGTAGTAGTAGTAGTGGTAGTAGCATTAGTAGCAGCACAATTACTAGTTGTGGCGGTTAGACAATGACTATTGGCTGCAATGGTAGAATGTCCATTGCTGGTGGCCAGCAGTAGCTTCTTGGCTAGTGGCGGTTGGTCCTTACTGCTGCTGTCGGATTGCAGCAGTTCATTGAGGGAGGCCTGCGTGAGGACGATTATGCCCGGAGTAGACTGGGCGTGGTTCGTCCCGGTGGCAATCAGAGTCGGTCGTGGATCGCGTCGTTCGATCAGAATCGTTTCGTACAGCACCGTCGGTGAGCCATCCTCTTTCTCGAGCTTGATTTTTCCTATCAATGGTTTCGTGAGCTGTTGATGTTGTTGTTGGTGCGATTGTGCATGCATTGGATTGTGTGCCGCTCGCAGTATGGCACTGTTTGGGCTGAAGATGACCATGCTACCACCGACGCCGACGCCGTTGCTGCTATTATTGCTACTATTGCTTGTGCTGATCAGTCCGTTGCTATAGCTAGCGGGACTGGCCGATACAGTGACAACATTCACAACATTCAATGGCTTATTATTGACTGTGGTGGTGGTGGTGGTGGCGGTAGTGGTGTTTGCATGATGGGCAATGGCATTATTACTGGTAGTATTGTTACTGTTATTATTGCTATCGTTATTTACAACATGAACAACATTGGTAGTAGTAGTTGAAGTAGTACTAGCAGAAGAGTGAGCAGTGGTAGTAGTAGAAGTAGTAGTAGCACATGTAGTAGTAGTAGCATTACCGTTACTGTTATTATTATTATTGGTTTGGATGCAGAGTGTTTTGGATGATGAAAGCTCATGAGTTGGATGATGATTAACATCTAGATGAGTAGTTGTTGGAGGATGGTCATTAACATTTGTAACATTATTATTGTTATTGGTACGATTAGTGTTGGTGGTGGTTGTGGTGGTGATAACATCCATTAGTATTTTACCTTGTTTCATGCTCATCAAGATTGTGTTATTGCTATTGCTTGTACCGGTAATGGTAGCATTATTGTTGCTACTGTTGTTAGTATTAGAGATCGTATAACAGATAGGATTCAAGCTTATCGATTTACATTTATTGTCCGTTGAGACAAATGGTTGCTGCTGCTGCTGTTGTTGGTGCTCTTTGATAGCAGTGGTCGAAAAGTTGAATATGTTTCCATTGGCAGACACTTTGCTCATGTTGTTGTTGTTGTTGTTGCTGTTGTTGCTGTTATTGTTATTGCACAGATTGTCCGCCGGCTCAGTTTTGATAGTGGTCGGAGTGGTGACCGTTTGGTACTGCTCCTGTTTGGCGATGGTTTTCGGGCTCTGAGGCATCGTTTTGAATGCACCTCCTGAGGGAATAGAAATACATGGGCACATCAGTATCGGGACTTGTGAATTTATGCAATGATGATCTTACCGGTAGGTTGAAACGGCGACACACCGATCGGGTTCTTCGGGCTACCGTACGAGTAGCTAAGCGACGATTGATGATGATGATGATAGCCGTGGTGCAGCATGCCGCCTCCGCCGCCAGGTGGTTCGCCGTGCGGAACGCCGCTACCGACTCCAACGCTTCCACCCGATTGGTGGGACGCTGGTGGAGGCAGCAGGGCCACCTTTATCGGCTTCGGTTTACACGTCAGCGGATCCGACGGGGTTGATGGTGCTGAACTACTACTACTACTGCTGTTGCTAGCTGGAATCGGTGCTGTCGCCGTTTTCGAGTAATCGGTCGGAACGTTGTCGTTCGCGAGGGAGGACGATGCAACCATTGATTCTGAAACCTGCAAGGAATACGGAAGAACACGTGAGAACATTTTTGTTTGGCATAAAAGATCGAAATAACTCTGGCAAAAACGGCTTGTGATTGATAAATTGTTGACGGGGGTCTACCCCGTTTGGCATAATGCCGTTTAGCATAATCGTCTTTGCAAGTACAATAACACATTTTTATTCCCGGGGAAGTCGAGAAAATGTCCAACCCGAATGATTTTCTAGAACGGACCGGGAATCGAACCTTCTTTTTTGAATAGGGTCTTTTTTTCAAGGCAATGAACATTTTGAATACGGGCGGTTTGAAAAATTCGATAGTCACTTTAATGTAGGTAGAGCTTAAAGGTTGATTACACAATAATTCAAGCTTAGGCCTAGCAGACAGCTGAGTCGAACCCCAGGGATTTGTCTCCTGAGATCCTTAAATGTTACTCTAGACTTGAGTATGCTAGGCTAAACTCCTAATCTCCTAAGACTTACACAGGAAACCCTCTATTTTTCCCTGAAGGTCATTTGCTCCCCCTAGTGCTGTTGCAAAATGTAAATGAATTCTCTTATCTCTTAAAATATCAAGTTGATAAGTCATTCAGACATTACTTCGCGTTGATCAGAGATTATTCATTGAACAATTAGGAGAAAAGTTGGCTCCGGCAATACCTGAACCTTTTATCGTCAGGGGGGTAAACAACGTCCTTGAGAGCTCAATTTTGGCATGTGGATACATTGTGTTTCTGAGCAACTATTGGCCAAATTTGAGTGATCTAGGACTTTGTTTACCCCCCTGACGATAATAGGTTAAGGTATTGCCGAAGCCAACTTTTCCCCTAGATGAATTTCTTCGGATACTCTTTCAAGATATCAAACTAATCAAGAAATATTCGGAAGATTTTCTCTGAACAATAATTCAAATGAAGTCCTTTAGATATTTTTTGAAGTAGTCATGTTGATCAGGAATTACTGTGAAGATCTACAATTGAGTTAAAATTCAAAAGAGGGCAAGGGCAACATATTATATTCTCTCAATTTATCAGGTTGATCAGGAATTATTGTGAGAACCGACACTAATTGTAAAATCAGAACGGGATCCGCCTCCAGCGGTTTCATTGTATGGCAGTATCGCCAAAGGGGGGCATAGCGGTTCCATTGTAGTAATGGACGCAAAACGTGGTCATCACTCGCACACTCATCACTGCTGTTGAAGAACAATGAGGAGGACCACACAATGGTTGCTGCCGAGTAAACCGACGATCGCGTGACACACATCGAGAGTGGTCTGCTTCTGTCGACAGCCAAGTGAACACTGGACTTAATGTTATAAAGTGATAGATTGAACTTACAAATTCTTATTTAAAACTATGAAATCTACGGATGCGTAGCAAGCAAGCAAAGGACAATTTTAAGGATGGTACAAATCGGGTCGAGCATCCCTTTTACCAAACTCCGAGGGGTTTTCCCCCTCGCCACTTCTGACATAAGGGATGATCGCCGATTCGCTCGGATGAGTTTGGTAAAGGGGATGCTCGACCAGATTCGTACCTTTCTCAAAATTGTTTCAAGGCCTCAGATTAATAAAAAAAACATGACGCTTGGATTTTGAAATTCTGACACTTCGAATGATCATTTAGAAAATGTTGATGAGAATGCCAAATAAAATAAAAAAAAATGATGATGATGGTCCCACCTCTTACCCCTACAAAGGTTTGAGCTGGACGATTTATCTTTAAGATAATTAAATATAAACATTTTAACCAGGTTAGCAAACAAAAACGAGCTGGTTACAGTTACAGATATAAATTCCCTCTAGACTTTACAGTTGCTTCACAGCAATATACATAAATGTGAAAAAGCTTAGGCGTCCACCTCTTAGTTCGCCTTTTTGTCCACCTAGAATATTCATAAGTATTACAAGCAATCAAGAGTTAATGAACAATCAACAAAGCATCCTATACACTAGCAACCCCGCAATGATGCTATTATAATTTTCAGCAATGTCAGGAATGCTCACGAACCCCCGACATTCAGCCAGAAAACTTAATACTAACTCAAAGTATCTTCCAAATAAGCTTCAAAGTTGCATTTTTTTTATCAAATGTTAAATTCAGTCCTCTATATCCGTAATACGCGCGCGAGGCTCAAACCTTTGTAGACTACTACTTTTTTTTTTTTTTAACTACTACTTTAATTCAAATATAAAAAAAAAATCCATCATCACCATCGTGGCGAACAAAATAGTTTTTGCAGTGCTACAATAATTATTAAAAAGTCGTTATGACAGCTATCCATACAAAATAATCCGTTATAAATAACTTCGTCAAGATACATACTTCGTCCATTCATAAAAAAAAAAAAAAATAAAAATCACTGGATAACTGTTCAAAAGACAGTTTTAACGTGTGAAATACAATGTCTCTTGAATTCTGCTATGTTGCACGTTTAATATGTCTAGGCATCGAATTGAAAACATTTACTCCTTTAAAATACAATGAATTCTGTGAAGCGCAAGTCAAGAAATGTGGTGTTCTTATTTCATCCGCGTTTCTAGTATTATATCTATGAAAATCACTTCCTCTTTCAATTCGATCACACAAATATCGAGGCAGCAAACCATTTACTACTTTAAAAATGAACACCATAGTCAAATAAACTATTCTTTGCTTCACTGACAGCCATTTTAAAGCGTCCAGCATCAAAGTTGAGGAAGTGAATCTATTACATCGCAAAATCAAACGCATTATTTTATTCTGCAAACGCTGTAATCTCGATATTTGTGTTTCATTGGCTAGAAATAAAATGGATGGGCAAAAGTCTAGATGAGGAGAGATGATTGATTTGTATAGCTGTATTTTACTGGCAATAGTTAAATCGTTTTTCAGTCGACATAGAATTCCATACTTCTTGGCAATTTTCTTGATGACATTGTCAATGTGAGAGTTGAACTTAAGTTTGTCATCAATAATCACGCCAAGATATTTAATCTCCCGAACGCGATCAATAGCCTCATCATCAATTACCACGGAGACATTATCATTTACTCGGTTCCGCGAAATTACCATGAATTTAGTTTTACTTGTATTTAATTTCAACTGCTTACACTTCAACCATCTACTTAGAGAACGCAAATCTTCATTCAAATGTGAGACGGCAACTTCTAAATCCTTAGCTGCAATGAATAACACAGTATCATCTGCAAAAAGATTAATGTCGCAAAATCGTAAAACGCGTCGCAAATCATTAATATACATAATAAATAAAAGAGGCCCTAATACACTTCCCTGGGGCACTCCAAGGTTATTCCCCACGGGACTGGAAACAGAATCATTAAAAACAGTCCGTTGAGTTCTGTCAGATAAATAGCTTTCAAACCATTTATAAGCAGTACTCGTAATTCCAAAGCGCTTGATTGTACTTAACAGTAAGGGCCTAGAAATTGTTTCAAAAGCGCGTTTCAGATCCAAAAAAACAGCAACAGTCGTATCTTTACGCATGAGTTTTGAGGAGAATTCCAAAGAAATTTTACTTACATAAGTTCTACCTTATTTTAAGAAGTATTTCAATAAAATTGTAGGGAGAGCTAAACATTAGGTCCAAGTAGTTCTGAAAAGACTATTATGGGGGTTATGAGTATAATATGTCTGGTCATTCTAAAGCAAATCTTAAGGAATTGTAGGTAGCATTATATGAGAACAGGAGAATTCAACTCGACGATAAAATTGATGATTTTTTGTTTGTTTATTAATTTATTTGATAAGGCTCAACCGAATGAACTTTACAGAGCCGAGGATTTTTGTTCACCATACAATACACCTTAAAAATATGGTCAAAAGGTACAACACAATAAACATTTTATCTTCCGCTATCCAATAAGCCTCCTCTACCAGAACGAGAGCCGCTTCAAGTGGTTTACTTGTATGGCAGATTCGCCAACGATGGTCAGAGCGCTTCCATTGTAACAATGGACGCAAAACGTGGTCAGCGCTCACACATTCATCACGAAACGGTTGCTTTCCAAAGTCGACGACGCATCGACTGAAAGAATTGCTGATGCAGAACAATGAAGAGGACCGCACAATGGTTGCTGCCGAGTAAACAGACGATCGCGTGATACACATTGAGAGTGGTCTGCTTCAGTCGACAGCCGAACACTGAAACTTAATGATGATATGGCTTAAATCTTTGCATCTGCATCTTTGCAAAATAGTATTAAGAACGAAGGTTAGAATAAGTCTGTGCGACACAGTCGAAGACGAATAACAACAATAAATAATGATGAACTACACTACGGCTGAAAATCACTTAAATGTCCTTCAATATATCAAAGAGATTTCAGAGGAGAGGTCGAAGGGGATATCGATTATAATTCTAAGGGAAACTAAGAACCATTCTTTGCAGGGAAAAAGGAGCGGTTCAAGAGCTTACCAAAGCGAATTCTTAAAAAGAAAACTCTAAGAAATTCTCTTAAGGGTATTTTGAGAAGAAATTCAACGAAATTCTGCGGAAAATTCCCATAGAAGTCCGAGATGAAATGCAAACAACATTTGGGAGAATGTTGTCCAAATCCTTAAGGGTATACCAAGAGATTTCTGAGGAATATTTCGAGAGCATTTTAAAGAAAATTATTGACTGAAATTTAGATTAACCCTCACGAGAATCATTATTAATACGAAGATAATTCTCGATTACTTTTTCGAAGTGACGTATCAGGGTTTGTAAACAATGCATTTGATCGTCGATTTGGCATAACCGGTAGCTCGTCCACGCATGCTAACCCGCATAAACGCGAACCATCACTTGACCTTACCGATAATGGTTATAATTTTTTTATAATCCCTCGTAAACTTTAAGTTCCATAACCATACTTTACATGAACGTTTGTGTGATAAAGTTTTAACCTTATGTAAAATGGTTTTTTGGAAGTGGACCTTACAAATAATGGATTGTTAAGAACCCTTACCATTCCAAAGCCTTGTTTTCTCCATACATTTTCGGAAAGAGAACTATGGTAGTCAGTAAGGTCCATGGTTCTTTTTTTTTTTTTTTTTTTTTTTAATTCTTTATTTAAGAGATTTTTAGCCTTAGGCTAGTTCATCTCTAGCGTAAGGTCCATGGAAGGTTTTGTATTGTCGGTCAACTTTACGTGAAATATATCGTGAATTGGTAATCAGTAATTTACAGGCAACCAATTCGCCATATATTCCATATAAAGTTGATCGATGTTACAAAACCATTCATGGACCTTACTGACTACCATAACCATTACCATTAAAGTTCTCAAACCATAAGTCAATAGGTTTTAATATAGTTCTCTTTCCGAAAATGCAGCAGCACAGAAGGTGCCCTGTACAGCAAAACGAGCCGAAAGAAGCCCGGCGAGCTAAAGGACGGTAACAAAGGTGAGAAGCTGTGCTACAACTGTGAGAAACCGGGCACTTTGCAGCCAAATGTCCCAATGCCAAAACATCGTCTTTGAAGCCAAGCAAGTCAAAAGGACTGTACTGTATTTTCGCTATTGAAGATGTAAGGACCGATGAGTGGTATCTGGATTCCGGTGCCACCAGCCACATGGCACGTTTGGATCAACCTTTCGTCAACGCGGTTGCCATGGACCATGACGTTGGAACAGCAAACAACAGCAACATGAAGGCCGTTGCAAAGGGAACGGGTTCCGTGGAAACTGCAGAAGGAAACATGGAAGATGCTAATGTGTTGAAAATTCTGGACTTATGTCGTTTTCGTTTTTGCGGTGTAGCTACACCGAACACCAAACAATTTCAGGGTGTAGCTATCGGTTGCACCTTTGTTTACAAACAAATGATAATGAGCTGATGACTCGCGCTTATTGCTGCTTACACTACACCGGTGTAGTGTAGTAAAAACGAAATCGAGTTGTGGCATAGACGTCTTGGCCATTTGAATGAAGGAAGCTTGAAGAAAACTTCCTAGCGGAATCGACTTCAAGAATGAAGCACTTACCAATTGTGTGTCGTGTCTCAACGGGCAAACAAGCACGATTTTCGTTTCCCACCTGTGGTTCAAGAGCGAAGGAATTGCTAGAGCTGGTGCACTCCGCTTGTTAAGCAGTTTTGGGCGAAGCAGTTTCTACAGTTGCCTATCTGGTCAATCGATGTCCAACGCGGTCATAGGAGAACATAACGCCAGAAAAGGCGTGGTCTGGAAAGAAGCCGCACCTCAAGCATCTCAAGATTTTTGGATCTCAAGTGATGGCACACATTCCGAAAGTGAAGCGGACGACGTTCGAAGACAATGCCAGAAAAACGATCTTCGTCGGCTATTGTGAGGACACCAAAGGCTACCGTTTGTACGATCCTGACAGCGGTGAGTTTCAAATCAGTCGAGATGTAGCAGACAGATACAGCAATACAAAGTCGTTTTAGTTTCTTCTGATGGTGAAGATGAAGACATCGAAGAGGTTGCGGATGAAGCATCGCAACTGAATAGACCAGCTGATTCGCAGCAAGGGTTAAGGCGCTGCGATCGGGAGCGCAATTATCCAGGCAAGTACAATGATTACATTAGCTTTGGAGCATATTCTGGTGATATCTTTTCCCCCAGTTACCTCCTGATTTAACCAACGATGAATGTGCAATGGACGATCCAAAGACTTACGAAGAAGTTCTGCAACGGCCTGACAGAGATCATTGGGTTCAAGTGATGAACGATGAGCGAGAACAGCGGATCTGCCTTAGGTGCGGAAAGCGATTCGGAACCTGATGGAACCATTCAGCGGTACGACTATATTACGACGAGGTGTACTCTCCCGTAGTACGCTATGAAACGATTCGTTACTTCATGGCGTTGGCTGTGAAATACGATCTGGACATCGATCAGATGGGCGCAGTTACAGCATTTTTGCAAGGAGAGCTGAACGATGAGGAGATCTACATGCTGCAGCCGCAGGGGATAGACCATCGAAATGGAAAGGTATGCCGCTTGAAGAAAGCTCTTTACGGCTTGAACCAATCAAGCCGAGTATGGAATGCGGATGGCGTGCTTCAGAAGTTCGGACTGATTCGTTCCTCAGTACATTGTTGCCTGTACTGGATGATGTGAGGAGACAAGCTGATGTTCGTCACTATTTACGTAGACAATTTTCTAACAATCAGAATCCTGAAGCGAAAGCCGAAGACGTATTTGAGCGAACGATTAAAGATGAAGGATCTCGGTGAAGCCAAGTATTGTTTGGGCATCCGGATTACAAGGAATCAAGCAGAAGGAAAGCTCTGGCTCGATCAACAGGCGTACATTGAGGAAATCATTCAGCGTTTTGGAATGACCGAATCGTATCCTGTAGCAACGCCAGCTGATCCCAGTTTAAGACTGGACAACTCCAACCGAGAAACCAGAACGAAGCCGAGGAGATGAAGAAAGTTCCTTTCAAAGAAGCTGTTGGATATCTGTCTTTCGTAGCCCAGGTGACTCGTCCGGACATCGATGTTGCGGTGAATGCAGCTAGTCAGTTCAGCACCAATCCGGGACGTCAGCATTGGGAGGCCGTCAAGAAGATAATTCGGTACTTGAAAGGAACATCGACGAAGAAGTTGGAGTATTCCAAGCGATGATCATCGGAACTAGTCGGATTTAGCGATGCCGATTGGGGAGTAGATCCAGATATCCAAAGGTCAACGACGCATTACGTGTTCACGTTACAAGGTGGAGCCATATCGTGGAACGTAAAAAAGCAGCCCACCGTTGCTCTTTCATCCTGTGAAGCAGCGTATATGCCCCCCCAGACAACCAGAATGCACGTATATTCAAAGTTGTTTTCGTGATATACAAACAAACAATTCGTAAAGAATGCAAAGAAATGGCTTATACGTACAAAAGTGGAGGCCATATACGTGCATATTTTAATTTAATTTTAAACGAGTTGATTTAACATCATATAGGATTTAATCTGTAATAACAAATTCATTTCGAAAAATCTTACGATGCAGTCCGATTCAATTTGTGATACAGTACGATGGAAAAATAAGTCATCGCATATTGACTTTAACTGTAGCAATTTACGATACTGTCTGTACATTTTTATACGACTTCTGGTTGTCTGGGCCTTGTCTTGAACAATTCAGGAAGCAATGTGGTGGAACAACTTGCGATCGCAGATATTCGAGCAGCGGCCAGTAATTATCAATTGTGACAACCAATCTGCAATCAGCATCGCGAAGAATGGCTCATACAACCCTCACACGAAGCATGTTAGCATTCGCTACCATTTTGTAAACAATAGCCTACAACAAGGAGCGACGCAGCTGATGTACATTCCGACCATGGAGCAACCAGCTGATGGTTTCACAAAGCCAATAGCCGTTCAGAAACAACAACAGTTTTGCAAACTATTAGGTGTCTCGGATTAGGGAGGAGTATTGAATAACGCAGTAGTCTGTGATAATCCGTGTCACTGTTGTAAAAAGAAAATCAAGCATAACTTTTCAAAAGGACGTAAGTCGCAATAATAAACAAATCTATATTTTGCATCTAACCGAATGTAAAATACATGCTTTTCCTACGAGTTAATGAAAAACAAGGTTTGAAATTGTAATACATTATGGAAAATATATTTAATAAACGCCCTATGTGACGTTCTTTCATTGTTTTTAAAATGGTGTTGATATACCCTTTTATTGTCAACATGACTTAACTGTTAAAATTTGATGATAACACAAAAACTGCAGATACGCTCACAGTGAAGCGTCGTATGTGAAAAAACAAAGCAACCACTATCAATCTGCAAATGCGTCAAGTTTGTATGTTTGTTTTTGTATTTCCGGGAGCAAAATTTTTATTATTTCAAAAGTATTCTAATGAAATTGCACTTTAATCTTGACTTTAATATTGAACTTCACATACCAATCTGACCAGCGCTTTCTGAATACGAAAAACACAAAACGTTTAACATCTGACAGCAGATAATGCAGTGACCCTCTCATCTCCGCTTTTAACATCGATTATTTCGCAACTCTGGGTAGTTATGTAAATTAATCAACCAACCGACAATTCCTCAATGCTTTTCGAGCTGCCGACGTATCTCCACTGCAAAACAAAAACCGGTGTATCTGATTTGACGTATGTGAAAACCCTTCTGTCAAATAGACGAATCATGCAGGGTGTATGTAACAATCAAGGTGTGATACCGACGAATCAATCAGGGTGTATGTGAGTAGTACAAAAGTAAAAGGTGTATGATTTTGTTTTATCAGAAGTCTTTGTGATACCGACGAATCAATCAGGGTGTATGTGAGTAGTACAAAAGTAAAAGGTGTATGATTTTGTTTTATCAGAAGTCTTGTCCGTGTTTGCAAAACTCGACATTTTTCTCAATTCTCTTAAACGCAATCCCTTTGTCCAACTAATAGCACAAACAGATTTAACAAAATAGCACTAACTCTAATTTCCTATCCAATGTTACATACGTCCTTTTGAAAAGTTATGCTTGAAATATAAAATAAAATTCATTCCACTGTATAACGTTAACCAATAAAGACGTGTTTCGATCGTTCCTTACAATTAATATCCCAGATGTGGAGAAATTTTCTAGATTTTGGGAGATAAACCATCATCATGGTTTTTAAATTAACAAAAAAAAATTACAAAATACCGAACATCGGGCATCGAAAAACTATTGAGATTGTAAAATAGACCAAAAATCACGCCTTACAAATTGTTTAGGATTAAGATTGGAATCATTTAAGAAAACTATCTTTCTGGGACATCGGTTCAGTGGCCACCCTGTTTTTGGTGTAAAAAGTGACTTTTTAGTGACTGACTTGCAAATAGTGACCTGCTAGCGACCCTGCATTATATAACAACAAAAAGGTAAACAGTAAGCAGCCATACTAACCTTGATTTTCCCCTTGTAGTCCTCTCCTTCACCACAGCCACCGCCTCCTCCGATGTTCCCTTCGTCCACGTCGGAATCTCCCACCTTCTCGGCGCACTTGAGATCGGCAATCTCGACCGTTTCACCGATCGGTTGCAGTGCGGAATCCTCCGCAATCACCATCTGCTGCTCATCGTCCGACATGGTACCGTCATCCTGGTCCATCTTCTCTACGCCACCGTTGGCAGCGCCAACAGCACCGTCCGGACGTCCACCTTCGTCGTCGGGATGTCCTCCGGTGTTGTACGGTGCGATGGTTGTCGGAATGATGTCATTCAGGGGAGGAACCGCTACGCCCACGGTACCCAGTTCCGACGGAGTGGTCGGACTCTTCTCGTCGAACGAATCGTTCCCGTCGAAGGAATCCATCCGACTACGACCGTCCTTCGTCGAGGAGGAAGACTTCCGTCGATCCTTCGAACACCACTTCCACTCGGGATGAGCCTTGAAGTGAGCCTCTTTGACTTCGCTGGCAAGTTCGTGGTATTTGGTTTTCTCCTCCGGTTTCAGGGCGTACCACCATTCGCCAAGGATTTTACTCACGGTCCGATTGTCCTGATTGGGGTGTTTCTGGTGAACGAGTGCTCGATGCCTCTTGGAGAAGATCATGAAGGCATTCATCGGCCGACGGATCTTGGCATCCTTCTTGTTCAGAGGACTCTGCGGTTCCTTTGCACCGGGTGGACCTCCCCCACCACTGGCGGCGTTGTTGGCTGCCTGCAGCGCTGCGCTACAGGACTGTGTGCGTCTCTTGATTAAATCACTCTCCGCTTTGCTAGTTGCTCCTGCGGTACTCCCATGACCACCGCCTGCTAGAGTCTGATTCGGGAATGAACCCGGTCCGGCTTCGATGTCCATGCCTCGGAGTAACTGGTTCCCACCAGAGCTTTGAAAGTTGTCTCTCCCGGCCAATTGGTTGTTGCTGCTGCTGTTATTGTTATTGTAATTAGTTTTCACGGGCTCTGCTTCAAAAACATCATCATCTCCCTCATTGTCGTCGCACTCGTCATCGGCAGCCGGTTCCGACGGTGGTGGCGTGCAGATCTTGACCGTCGGCGACGCGATGATTGTCGTATTGACCGTCTGTGGAATGCCGGATGACTGTTGCTGGTGCTGAGCTGGAGAGTAGCTCGATTGATGGTGGTGGACGAACGTTTTCGAGGCCGGAGCTTGGATTATCGGAAGTAATGTATGCCATTGAAAGATGGAACCCGTGCTAATGCCGTTTTTTGGCACGGTCACTGGTTGTTGTTGTTGTTGTTGTTGCTGTGGGACCGCTGGATGTGACTGTTGTTGAACGATCGCCTGCTGAAGTTGGATCGTTTGCTGAGGAGCCATGATCTGTCCGCGATTGGATAGATGTTGCGGCTGCTGTTGGTGTTGATGTTGTTGTTGTTGTTGTTGCTGCTGCGATGGTGGTTGACCCGGATCTACTATCACCTGTTGTTGGCCATGAAAGGAAGAGTATAGTCCCGGATGTTGGGAACCGTGGGATGATGCCGGCGATATCCGTATCACACTGGTTGCATGGCCTGTGGGGGGAAGCGATACGATCGGTTGATGCGGTGGAGGTTGGGCGGGTCTCAGTAGTTCTGGCCGGATCAGCGGCGGTTGCTGGAGGCCAATACCCACGGACATCCCGCTGGCGCTTAGACCCTGCGCGCTACCATACATCACGGGACTGGGGGTGTTGGTTTTGAATTTGCCATGGTGATCCGATGAGGACGGTGCCGGACTGCCAATCGGCATAAACACGTTCTGCCGGTTGCCTATGGTCACCGGTGATTGGGTGCTGCTGGCCAGCGGAGACGAGGCGTGTCCCGTTGGCGATGAGAACGAATTGCACGGTGTTGCCGAGCGGGAACTGCTCAGTGACACTGGAAAGAGAATGAATAGTAACGAGAAATGGTGTAAGTATTGAATCAGATGATAATATTTCAACTTAAGCTCAGCTCAAATTCATCTAAACATCCAAATTCAGCACTGAATAGACGCTTGTGCAAGTTTATTGAAAAACGACGCCATTGTTCAACCGAATTGGAATATGACACCACCACTACTAATACGATTTTATTTTTTTCAAATTTCTATTGATTAGCCAATGCGCAATTCGTCGAACCACGCGCCTCTTCGACGTTTTGTGAAAGGCCAACAAATGACTTAACTGAAATTAAGCATTAGCTACTTACTCAAGCACTTGACGTACAGCTCGGCCCCGGTTTGCAGATCACTCAAGTTCATATTTAGGTAACTCATTTTGCTTTATCAAGTTTTGGTTTCTTCCAAAATCTAGACGCAATTTTACGAACAATCGATCTGATTCGATTCTCATCGAAACTACAAATTCACTGTATACAATTTTTTGGGATAATTCCCAAATACAATTGTCAACCTGCGCACGAGAAGAAAGTGCTTTCCTGCACACTAGGTAGTATACACACTAACGAATCGAAAAGGTACCAGCCTCAACGAACTCTTGCTTGTGAATAACGGTAGTCAGTCGGACGACTACCTACAATATTCTAGTGATAATAGCGTTTCGTTCTGAAAACTGTTTCTTCCTGCGCATGTGTGAGTGAGTGAAACAAGAAGGCGTACACCTCGGTTCGGGTCTTTTTTTAATGAAAAGGATGAATGCTTGTGTGCAGGGGAAATTTACGACAGGTACCGAACGGTTCCGAGAACGAGGCGCTTGCATTTGGGTAGTGAAATTAGAGGCAGAAGCCGATGGAATATTATTGAAAATCATTATCGACTAGATTGCAAACTACAGTTTTGAGTACGGACAAACTGTAAACTTCAAAAAATGCTTTCTGCTTCGAGGTAGAATCCATCTCAAATAGCCAGAATTTGATTAAACACTTTAAATTGTGTTGAGAAAATTAGTGTACACTAGAATTAATAAGATAATTTTGCTAGAATGATTGAAAATTCAAAGTGAATTGCAGAGTGAATCTGTAGATAATTTTCAGAGTGTTTTGAAGCAAATTATGTGGGTATTGCCGTAGAGGGTACAGTGCGAAACATTCTAGACCAAGATAAAAATTTCATAATAAATTAAGATTTAAATAGGAAAGCAAAATATTTCCAGGATGCGGTACAATTCTCGGTTATTCTCAATTCCCGATTTCCCGGTTCAATGGCCACCATGCGATTAACGAACCGTCCGATGTTCGGTGCCTTAAGGTACCAGATGTAAAAATGTGAGTAAACGAGATATGAAAAGTAAGATGTGAGCAATGAGTAAGTTGCATTTGAGTTGTGAGGAGAGAAAGTGAGAAAAGGATATTCTGCTCAGTTGCGCTAATATTAAGTAGGTAACGCAATACTATAGAAGAAACCCTCACGCATGAGTGAACTTACCCAGCATATTGGCCACGTCGGTTTCCTCCTGGTCGAACCGCCCAGCTACCCGGTAGTTGGGTGAAGTTTCCGAATCCCGAGAGGTGTCCTCGTCCAGTTGCGTTTTGCTACTGGACCGACTGCTGCAAGGTGAATTCAAATGCATTCAAGTAAAGCTTTCAGTTCGTCAATTGAGACTTGATCCCCGTACCTGTTGAAATGGTTCGCCGTGGAACCGGCGGACGATCGCAGTGCGTTGCCCTTCTGGCTGAGATGCCGCGAGCAGTACCCGCGTCGTTGAGATTCTTTCGAGCAGGACTCGTTCGAGCACAGCCTTCGCCACTGTTTGCCGTTAAACTTTTTCCGTATACCGTTCGGGGTGGACACCACGTCGCCCTTCTTGAAGCGGTGCGGCGTCGCCGCTTGAGATCTGCAGGATGACGATGGATGATAAATTCTATAACGAACGGGTAATGCGACACTACTAACCTGGGAGTTGCTGGTTGAGATCTGGGAGTACTTCGCTGATCCAGTAAGCTAGACGTACTGCCACGGCTTTGCATGCTGCTTCGCTTGCTGCTGCCTGAGTATTTTTCGTTTTCTGGAAAATGGAATACAATGCAATATGAAGAGTATCAATTTCCCATTAATGTACTCACCACCATCCATGGGGAAGTTGATTTCGCCTCGCCGCAGTTCGTCGTCGCTTTCGTAGTCGTAGTACGTTCGATTTGCACCGTGCAAATCGTCTGGACTGCCAGACGTTAATACTGTGCTCGAGCCACCAGGCGCCATCAGTTCGCTCCCACCATGCTGCTGCTGCTGCTGTTGCTGTTGGGAGAGGTGATGCGCTTGATAGTGATTATTTGCTATCAGACTCGTCGGTTGGCCATCTGCTCCACTGGCCCCAGTAGGTCCCGATGCCATCTGGGTCGTCTGGAACGGTGAGGTGGCCGCCGTCCGATAGTACTCTTCGTTCGCGTGAAGCGTGGGAAGTATTTGACAGACTTGTAATGGCACATGTGACTGTTGTTGCTGTTGCTGTGGTTGCTGTTGCTGCTGCTGTTGTTGTTGTTGTTGAGGATCGTAGCGTGCAGCAGCCGCTACACCACGTCCCTGCGTGATGCTGATGGGTTTATACTGTGCTCCGGCGGCACTAACAGGAGGGACACTTTGACTTGGGTTGTACATGGCGGCATTGGTTGGAGCCTGGGATGCATCCGAACTGTGATAGTTCATCGGTCCGGGCCTACTCACTGGCGTCTGTTGTGACCGGTTCCGGGCACCCTCCACAGCCTCTACCATCTCTTCCAGTTCATCCCACCAGGGTGGTTTCAGCAGTCGAATGTCCACCCTCTTGACCAACTTAATCTGTGGGAAATGTAAATGAATTATAGAAATGAGCCAAAGCAAAGAAATGATTGATTGTTGAACAAACCTCTTGTGCGCCACTTGCTGGTCCGAACTGAACCGAAAACTTCTTAGTACTATTATGCATCTCCTTAACCACAGCCTCGACAAAAACGTTCCCGGTCGGATGTGCCGGGATGGTTTGAACACGTACGCATATCCTGCACCCGGGGACCACATCCGAAGCGGAAGGACAAGCATCGTCGATGATGTCGTAGCGACCAGCGCCAAATACGTCATCGTACAGTTGTTGGCTTCCCTCGGGATAGTCGAAGAGGACTACCACGGTGCTGGGCGACGGCGTGGCCCGTATCACACCGGATTCGTAATAGTCTTTCCGTTTAGCCAGCACTCGATAGTTGTTGGCCCAGTCGTTAAGATCGATCAAGCTCGATGGTGCCGCCGCCCCGCAGGGACCCGAAGACGACGATGATGACGCAGTATTAGTACTAGTAGTAGCAGACGACGACGACGACGACGACGCTGACGGCGGCGGCGGTGGGGGTCCGGACGAGGACGAGGTAGTAGCGTTGCTTGAGATCAGACCTGCGACTGGCGGCGTACTGCTGATGTGATGCGATCCCGTGTCCGGTGGGGTATGGCTGGCGGGCGGAACGTGCTGATGCTGATGTTGATGCTGGACCGACGAAGGGGATGCTACAATCTGCGGCTGCTGTTGGAGCTGAACGGATTGCGACATCGAAGACGGAGGTGTGGCAGCAGGTTTGTAGCTGTTGATGGGGGAGCTGTGGGGATGAAAGGGTGGATCGCGTATTAGAAGCTTTCTTTGGCAATAGGTGGATTAATCAACGGTTAAACAAAGCTGCAAGCTATGCAACATTCAACGACTTTGTCGGAAATACAACCTTTTTAAGATCTCAATAAATACAAAATGCAGTCCCAAGCTCGACAGAGTGAGGGCGAAGAATAAGGGAATCAACAGAATTTAGTTAAAGGAGGACTTAAACAGATATACGGCATAATTCCAAGGAAATCTTGAGGAGAATCCGATGAAATTCTAAGAAGAACTCCAAATTAATTCTGGGAAGAATTTTAAGGAAATTGAAACGAGAACTAATGATGAATTCTAAGAATATTGCATGGCAATTCTTAGGAGAACTCCATAAGGATTGTGATAAGAATTTCAGGTGAAATCGAAGGAACATTCAAAGTGATGTCTGAGGTGAGATTGGAGTCGATTTCAAGGAAATCCCAAGGGAATCTGCAGGGAAATTCTTATGAGAATTTTATGTATTTTCATGAAACATTCCAAGGAATTATAAGGAAAATTAAAAAAAAGTAAATTGAAGGAACATTTCTGGGCTATTTTGGGAGAATACGTAGCGGATGCTAAGGAGATTTCCGAATTAATTTTCAGGAGAAGTTTGAGGAAATTTCATAGATAGTTTTAAGCAGAAACCAAGGCAGTTCTGAGATAATTCCAAGGTGATTCTGAAGTGTATACAAAGAGGGAGTTCTGAAGAAAACTATGAGGGAGTTTTAATGTGAATTATGAAGATCAACTATTCCAAGAGCGAATTCCAGGAGTATTCTGGAGAGATTTCCTAATTTCTCGCAAGAAATTCATCAGAGGAATTTCGAAGATAAAAGATTATGTCTAGAGAAAATTACAAAGAAATCCTACGAAGATTTTCCAGCATTTCACATTTAAATCAGCAATTTTCGGAAATTTTGACGATTTTTCCAGTTGTGCTGAATAGATTTAAATGAAGAATAAAACCTAATACGATTGCGCTTATGGGGTTACTAGGCTTCTACGACAGCAGCATTTTTCCTAGATCTTTTATTTGTTGCTGCGTCCAAAATCTTCAAAATGTGTCGATGTTTTAACTACCTTAGACGCTCGCATTTTTTTCAGGATTTCTTAAGAACCGTTACCATTCATTGAGTTCTTTTTAGAATTTCTCTTAAATAGATTTGAGATTCTCTCTTGAAATTTTCATTATTAAGAATCACTGTTCCTTCCATAGTACCTCGCTTAAATTTTTCTTCCATGAATTTCCATGCAATTTACCTGATAAATAATTACAATTTTTTTCTCAGAATTATCTTGGACTTGTAATTCTCTAGAAATTCTTCTCGGAATGTCCTCGGAATTATCCTCGAAATTTCTTTGAAACTCTTCTCAGGTATCTTTCGGAATTGCATCCTCAAAATTCGGGTTCCTTGGTATTATTGTCGATATTCCCTTAGAACTCTCTTTGGAATTCACTTGCCCCGAAATAATCCTAGGAATTTGCAACAGAAATGTTCATCAAACTTCTCCTAGTTATTCTATGCCTTCTAAGGTCCTCTGAATCCCCACATCTATCAAGGGAAGGAAATTCATGTTAGTGGAAAAGGTATCTGATCAGGATTTATCGTGGTAAGGGATGTGATTATTTGTTTACATTGCGACACTAACAACTCCATAATACGAAGGAGCCTAGGATTTAACTCACGGGCTTCTGCCCAGTAAGCATAAACTGGTCGCTACTAGGTCACCAAGCCCCTTATTGTATATACAGGGAGCTGGAGTGCGAAATGGAATAAGCGGAGTGCCCCTACAAAGTCCGCATGCCGCTGGGCTCGAGATGACAGCGAGAGCTATCACACTATGACGCTACCGTTCCTGTGCATACCTGCAACCAAATCTTGATAGAGCTGGAATTAGGGCGTAACAGCTTTTGTAAACAATGACTTCTCTCGATGATTTCTAGAAACTCACGGCACGCCTACGCAAACCAACGTAACCAATGGGAAGGGGAAGACTTCCCCTATCCGATAGTAGCGTTGATTTGAGTGAGCGAGCCTTGGCTTTCTAGAAGTCATTGTTTATAAAAGCTGTTACACCCTAATTCCAGCTCTATCTAGAAATGTCGATTAATCTTGTTTTATGTTTGTTGTTGTTGAAAAAGATAGTAATAAACCATGTCGTTTTAATTCCTTTAATTCCGAGTCATTTGAGGTTTCACGCCCACGCGTCCGCGAGTTCGGCCACCACTTGGGGCCTGAAATCATAAAAGTGGCGACTTCGGAAGTGGAGTTTCAAAGTGTTTTTTTTGAGTTCAGCCAAAACGTATCCCACGCACAAAAGGAAGAATGGACCATTCGTTCGTCGAGAACCAGAACCTCGGGAATGGCCAAGCAGGGCAAGAGCAGCAGCAGCAACAGCAGCAGTTTCTTTTTCCTCCGGTCCTTCAACCACCAACTGATCCGTACTTTCAGTGGTTTCAGCAACAGCAGCAGGGTTATGTAACGGAGTTTTTTCGACAGCAGCAGGAGCTAATTAATCGTCAACAAGAGGTTATGCACCAGCAGCAGCAAGCGTTTATGAAGCAGCAAGAACAGTTAATTCGAAGCATCATGTCCTCGTTCCAGGTGCAAGTACCACCGAATCCGGAAGCGATACAGGAATCTCTGGTCAACAATGTGAAGGAGTTCAGGTATGATCCGGAGAACAGTATGACGTTTTCGGCGTGGTACAAGCGGTACGAGGACCTTTTTGAGAAGGATGCTAGTCGTCTCGACGATGGAGCAAAGGTACGTTTGCTAATGAGGAAGCTGGGAATGTCCGAACATGAGCGATATGAGCTTCATACTGTCAAAATCTCCGAAGGATTTTCTATTTATGGAAACGGTGATGAAGCTCAGTTCGCTATTCGGTGCTTCAGAAACCGTGATTAGCCGGAGATACCGCTGTTTACAAATAGCGAAGCAGCCGACTGAGGATTTCGTCACGTACGCTTGTCGCTTCAACAAGTCGTGCGTTGAATTCGAGCTGACGAAACTAACTGAAGTGAGGACCTGATTGCTGAGTCGCATCGAAGAGCGGAGTTACGTTGGAGCAACTTTTCGAGGAGTGCCAGAGGCTCATCAACTTACAGCACGGAACTAGCGTGCTGGTTATGTGGAGCGATGCACTATGCGAGGGAATGCTCATATAGGAACCATAAGTGCGGCGATTGTGGCAAGACCGGCCATAAAGAGGACTACTGCCGGAGCGCCGAGAAAGTGTATTTCGGAAGATTTGGTCGGCGTAAGGTGAATGTTTCTGCGAAGGTGGTGACGGTGAATGCATGCAGGTGTTTGCGGGTACCTGGACCCAGCGAAGATCAAAACCATTGTGAAGCTTCCAGTGCCAACGGATGTTAGTGGTGTTCGGTCGTATTTGGAAGCCATCAACTATTACGGCACATGTAGGGCTGTTACAAGATTTTCTAAATTTGATCCGCGAAATCCGCGATTTCTCAAAAGAAATCCGCGACTTCAAATACTAATCCGCGACAAAAAAAAACTGTTTTCATTGCCTAAAAATAGCATTTGTACACTACTACATGGCATTTCAAGCTTATTGCTTATATCATATTAGATTTGTGCCTTAGTGTTTTTTGAAGTACTTTCACATTTTAATTGAGAGCTTTTTATGCCTGTACCATCCTATGCCCAAGGAAGTAGAGAATTTTTCCAACCCGAAAAATTAATAGACCGGACGGGAATAGAACTCAGTCGCCTCCAGCATGGACTTAGTTTGTAGCTGCGCCTTTACCGACTGAGCTAAAGGAGTATCGTTTGTAACCTTCGAATTAAAAAAATAACATTGTATCATAGTTATGTATGTATAGTATAAATTCTGAGTAATTAGTGAACATAACAAAACATCCTTAAATTATGAGATTCTATTTAATAATACTGGCCTAGATTTGATGAAATATTATTTAAAAAAATTAATGCATTTTCATTTGAAAAGCAAGTTTTTTTTTTGAAATTAACCAGAGACGTATTTTGCTGTCCTAAATGTTGTAGTAATTTGGCTATAGTTTTCTCAATTTTTGACCGATTCAAACCAAACACCCTGCACATAATCGAGAAATTACCAGAGTTTCAACACAATTGTTGGTCCCGTCGCGGTTCTGTATTTACACGGATATTCCTTGGAGTCTGTCCAATGGTGAGACATTTTCATGATATTTCTTTTCTAATATGAACCTGCCTCTTTTCGCTGTCAAATCATAACTGAATCGTGTATATGTGACTTTGTGGATCATGCGCGACTTATTACTATGTATACCGGAAATTATGGGTTTTCCAAATCGTTCAGGACATCAGTTGATTTGTTCTAATAGATCAACCAAGACTGCAATAATGTCTTTAGTATTGAAATATTTCCAGACAACGCACAGTGTCTATGTGGATCATGCATGATCTATTTCCGAGTAATCCAGATGTTCAAAATTCTTCAAATCGTCCTGGAGTTCAGTTAGTTTAATCTACTAGAACTATTGTCTTGTATACCAGATGTTTTAAGTACTCCAAATCGTTCTGAGCCTCATAGCCTAGTCAGTAAAGGAACGGTATTACTAAGCCGGAGGCGGCGGGTTCGATTCCCAGTCCGGTCGAGGGAATCTTTCGGGCTGGAAATTTTCTCGACTTCCCTGGGCATAGAGTATCATTGTGCTTGCCTTGTCACACAATATACAAATTCATGCATTGGTATTGGCATCGAAAGCTCTCAATTAATAACTTTGGGAGTGTATTTAGAACACTAAGTTGAGAGCACGTAATAAGTTAATATGCACTAATCAATAAACTTGAAATGCTAATAATAAGAAGAAGAAATCGTTCTGGAGTTCAGATGATTTATTCTACTAGATCAACCATGACTGGGATGAAGTCTGTAGTATCAAAATATGTCCACAGATTCATAGTGTCTATATGGATAATGTTTCAGGAAAATTACGTATCAGTTAATAATATCACTGTTAAAGACATTTTTATGACTCTTGAAAGTCTCGATGCCGGCAAAGGACCTGGTCCTGATGAAATACCTCCATTTTTATTGAAAAAAATAGCAACTAGTTTTGTTAAACCATTGTTTTGGCTTTACAATTTAGCTCTCAAAACAGGTGATTTTCCAAAAATTTGGAAGAAATCATTTTTAGTCCCAATACTTAAATCTGGCAAACGGTCATACATTAAAAACTATAGAGGTATTGCAATTATGTCATGCATTCCTAAAATGTTTGAAGCAATTGTTAACCAGAAAATATTTAACCAGGTTAAGCATCGCATTTCAAATAATCACCATGGTTTTTTTTAAAGGTCGGTCAACGTCTACTAATCTGTTGGAATTCGTAAACTTTTCTATTGAAGCAATGGATAGAGGTAATACTGTTGAAACCTTATACACTGACTTAAGTAAGGCCTTTGACAGAGTAGACATTCTCTTACTTCTTTTTAAATTAAAACGTTTAGGTATGACAAGTACACTTTTTAAATGGATTGGATCATACTTGACAGAAAGAATACAGATGGTCCACTTTAAAGGAAAAATGTCCTCGCCAGTTAATGTTACCTCGGGAGTTCCACATGGATCTCATTTAGGTCCTTTATTATTTATTTTATTTGTGGATGATGTGAAGTTTGTGTTAAATCGCTTAAATGTGCTCATATATGCTGACGACATGAAACTGTACATGGAAATCTTTGACAATAATGATTTGCTACATTTAAAAAATGAAATTAATGTTTTCTACAATTTCCATGATTTCCATTGTTAATGATATTATCTCACAACGCGTAAATTCAGAAAAAAATATTAGCAAGATTAAATTTTTACGTACCATCACGCATGTTAAGAACTCGAAATGTATTTCAACTGTCACCTCACAGAACGAATTATGGTAAAAATGGACCAATTAAAAGAACGATGAGAGTGTATAATAATTATTGTGAGCATATAGATCTAACGATGTCTAAAGATACAGTAAGGAGAACACTAACTGCTAGGATTTCATCTCGTTAAGTTTAAAACAATTTTTATTTTTTAGATATTTGTATATGCAGTCTACATTTACTGACAATTTCAAATAAAACGTATGTTTTAAAATAGCATGTAAGGAAACAGCACTATTGAAAAACGGTCTACACTGATTGACGACAAATAAATAATTATGTCCACGTATACCAGATGATCTAGGTTCTCCAAATTGTCCTGCAGTTCAGATGATTTGTTTTACTAAATCAACAAAGACTAGGATAATATCTGTAGTATCGAAATATCGATTTGGAAATCCTAGAATATTTGGCATACGCGGAAATAGGTTGGCATGATCCACATAGACACTGCAAATTTGTTTGGGCATATTTCGATACTACAGATATTGAATTAGTCTTGGGTGATCTAGTAGAAAAATAATCTGATCTCCAGAATGATTTCAGAACCTATAACATCTTGTATACGTAGCAATAGGTCGGGTACAATCCACATAGACACATTGAATCTGTTTGGACATATTTCGATACTACAGACATTATTGGAGTCTTGATAGAACAAATCAACTGAACTCAAGGACGATTTCGAGAACCTAGAATATCCGGTATACATGGCAATTACTCGCATAAATACGATTCGTTTGTGATTTGACAACGAAAAATGCTATGTTCATATTGGAAAAAAGGAAAATGTCTCACATTGGACAGACCTCAGGGAATTTCCGTGTAAATCCGGTGTGACTTATGGAATTGAGATCATTTTTCGATTATTTACAGGGTGTTTGGTTTGAACCGGTAAAAAATTGAGAGCCAAATGAACAACAAAATTGATGACAGCAAAATAATCCGGGACGGAAAGGTCAGTGCTAACATTTGAAAACGGCACAAAAGCCATTTGTAAACAAATGGTTGGTGGGCCCTTTACTCACTACTTGAAGTACACCCACGCGACACAACAGCAACATCGGGTAGGGGAAATTTTCCCCTTCCTGACGATGCTGTTGGTTTGCGTGGGCGTTCTTCGGGTAGCGAGTAAAGGGCCCACAAACCATTTGTTTACAAATGGCTTTTGCGCCGTTTTCAAATGTTAGCACTGAGGTTACAATGAATTCCACAATTTTTGTGACAGCACATCATTCCCTTCGCGATTTTCGCAACATCATTTAATGTTTCCGCGATTTTCGCGACTGAAAGTTCAAATCCGCGACAAATCCGCGAAAATCGCGAAATCCACGAAATTCGCGAAATCCGCGCCTGTTGTAACAGCCCTGCACATGCGATCGCTTAGGTTCCCGCTCGACGAGTTGCAAAATTTCGTTGGACACCAGAGCGCCAGATATGAGGTCAGTAGCGAATGAAGTTATTAACGTTCTCCGCTCAATTTCAGGGTCGTTAAAAGAGACTCGCAATCCGACCCAAAGCTTCGAAAGTGTTGCGTACCATCTACGGTGGAGTGCAGATGGATGACGGAACGTGGAGGAGGCGAATGAACCACGAATTGCACCAGCTGCTGGGAGAACCATCCATCGTCCACATTGCGAAAATTGGGCGACTACGGTGGGCTGGGCACGTCGTAGGAATGCCGCACGACGACCCAGTGAAAATGGTTCTAGAAAGCGACCCAACAGGAACAAGAAGAAGAGGCGCGCAGCGGGCAAGGTGGATCGACCAAGTAGACAGCGACTTGCGGACCCTTTGCAGACTACGAGGTTGGCGAAGTGTGGCCATGGATCGAGTAGAGTGGAGACGACTTCTTCGGACAGCAGAGGACAACAAGGCCTTAGTCTGATTGGTAAGGTAAGTTGTATCCTCTTATAAACAGGAAATCCAAACTTTGCCTGACGAATAAACTTCTAATATTTAAACAAGTTTTTAGACCGGCCATGTTTTACGCTGTGGCAATATATTCTAGTTGTTGCACTACCAGGAAAAAAGCACTTCAAAGGATTCAGAACAAAGTTCTGAAGATGATTTTGAAGTTGCCTCCCTGGTACAGTACTACCGAAGTACATAGAATTTCGAATGTTGAGACTTTAGAACAAATGTCCAACAAAATAATTAATAATTTCAGGCAAAAATCGATGCAATCCTCAATTGCAACGATTAATTCCCTTTATACTTAGATAAGATTTAGTTTTAGGTTTTAGTTTTAAGATTTCAGTTGTTATTCTGACATGCAGGTTTAAAAAACCTGTTTAAAATACTGAATTGCCAAGGCAGGAACAATGTAAAAACACTTAGATATATATCATAACAACTAAGGCTGGTAAGTTACTGTAGTAACTGGAGCACCTAGGTTAAAATGAAATGTAATTTATTTTGAATTTGGAACAAGTAAATAGTTTAAAAAAAAATAGTTTTATTCCTTATCGCAATACATTGGACCTTTTTTTTATTAGAGTGACAATTTTCATGTTAGGGTGGTAATTTGCGTAATTGTTTGTTATGGGAAATGATTCACATTATTACTTAAATTCGGCTATTTTGAATGTTGTAAAACTTTCAAGATTGCGTCCTTGAAATTTAAAAAAAATGTAGCACGGAAATGGCACTTCTGATCGAAATGACGTCTGACACAAAGCAGTAGAGAAAAATAACTTAAGCGATTGAGTGACTTTCAGCCCATTGATAATGATCAAGAATTTGAAACTAATTTAAGCGACAGACGTTAGGAAACCTTTAAGGAAAATCAATTTTTTTTCAACATCAACTTTTCGGCCGTTTAAAAAGTCATCACTTGCCACGTTCGGGCCAACTCCTTTATTCATTTTGCAGATAAAAGGGGTTCAAAATGGAAATCAATTCAGCAACACACTTCGCGAGCAGTGGAAATTTCCGCACGATGCGCCTAATCGGACCATACCATTACTAGATTGAATGAGTGAGCGTGTGATTAGCTTCGAACGCAAAAAAAAAAAAAAATACGAGTAGAGTACAGGGCAGAAGCGTGACGACCGGTCTTCACTCTCCGTGTGTCGTCGACGATTGTTTGAATGATTCATCTGCCTCCGCGTAAGAATTGTACAGCGTGCAGCATCAGTTGACTTGTTTATTTACGAATTAAAAATACACACATCCAGCTAGAATAACAATGCAAAATGGTTTATGCATCAATTTGCATGTACGCTGTAAACAAAAATCGCAAGCTATTTGAAAGTTTAACTTACCCATAAGAAGCATTGGTGTAGATCTTTTTGTTGCTGTAGAACCCGTCCGCAGTTTGCTGTATCCTGACTGTTTGCTGCTGGACCATCTGCCTCTGCTGTTGCATGGCCTCGTAACCCTGCTGCTGCTGTTGCTGGTGGTGGAATCTCATTCCACCTATAGTACCGTTGTTGTTACTACTGGGACTGCTACAGTTGATGCCGTCGATCATCGTCGTCGGATGATGCTGCGCCATCGAAGTAACGGTTATTATTGCACCTAGATTATTACTATTCCCGCTACAACTGCTGTAGACCACCGAGGAAGACGCCGAAGACCCCGACGGTGGCCTACTGTTGGGAAGTTCCGAGTGTCCCGCCGTTGGGATATTCTCGCTCATGATCATCGTGTGATCGTTGCCTAGGTTAATATTGTTACTACTATTACTATTTACAGTACTGCTAGTATTGCTCCCGTTTAGCAGTGGTGTTCCTCCCGTGTCCGCGGGCGGTGGCCCGCAAGAGCCTGCACTGCCCCGGTGGGATTCCATCTCCTCGAGTTCGGCCAGATCGAACTTGCGTTTTTTCGGATGCTGGCGGGGTTGATTTGTACTTCCGTTGCTAGTGTTGGCCGCGGCTGCAGCTGCTGCGGCCGCCGCTGCTGCTGCCACCGATACTGCAGCTGTCGCCGAAGATGCTGCAGAACTTTGAACCGCCGTCGAGGAGCTACCGGTGCTGGCCTGTGATATCATCCTGTGGCTATCGTTGCCGCTACTGTGGTGGTGAAGGTGATGATGATGATGCTGCTGCTGATGATGATGATTGGCACTTTCGCTAGCACTGTCGCTGTAGGTTTGGCCACCTCTCACATTGTCGTTGCTCACGGTAGTAGCGGTGATGGCGGCGTTGAAGGCATTGCCGGTGCTGCCTCCGGTCCCATAGCCGACCGGCGCCACAACGTACAACTGCCGGATCGCAGCCGTCGATTGGTGATAGTTGACCGTGCCAACGCTGCTGATGACAGAGGCCGGAATCTGGAAGGGTGCGAAGAAGAAGAACATTAGATATTATTGAATGATTCACTATGGGGAGAGTTGACTGTATTTATGTTTTATAAAAGCGCTCGGTTTACATTAATTAATTGTATATTTCTCTCATATGTGGAAAAAAATACTACGAAGAATTAGACAACAAGTGTTTCTTGTGCATAACACGAGAACTTTATTCTATAAAAGTTGATAAAAACGATGTTTTCTGCAAACACCAACACCACCTAGTGAGTTAATTCCGCACGACAGTAATCAAAGTAGTAAGTAGTTAAATTATGTTCATTTCTGTTGATTTTAACATTTTAATTGATTAGCCTACATGGCTCTTCATCTTTGTTTAATTTGATATTCTAATTTAATATTTGCGTTTTTCAACTAGTTTACAGAATACCCCTTTGGGGGTGTGTTTCGTTTGAATTAACAAAAAAAGTGATAACCCACCTAACTATGAGTATAACTTAACCTAACGTGCTAGATCACGTATGATCTCAGACAGGTGTCTCTGATCCTTTCCAGGATGAATACTCTCCGTTCTTTTAGTTTCTGAATTCCAACCAGGAGGTGGATCTCAGAATTTCTAGTCCAAGGGGGGGGGGGGGGACTGTTTAGGACCACCCTAAGGATCGTGTTCTGGATCCTTTGGAGTTTAGGGTGATGGCATTTGGCGCAACTCTCCCAGCTTGGCATCCCGTATTCTTTTACGGGAAGAATGATTTGTTTGTAGACAGCAAGCTTATTTTTCAGAGATAGAGTAGACCTCCTGTTGATGAGTGAATGCAGTGATCTTATCAAGATGTTACACTTGGTTGTGGTTTTGTCACCGTGCTCCCTGAAAATCAGCTTGCTGTCTAGTGTAAAGCCGAGGTAGACTACCTCTTTCGACAATTCCACCACTATGCCGTTCAAGCAGATCTTATTATTCACCAACGGAACAAGTCTGGAAGATTGTGAGTGTGGAAAGATGATGACCTGGGTCTTTGCCGCGTTGATACGGACCTTCTAGCTGTTGAAATATTCAGACAGGACGCCCAGGCCTCTCTGAAGTTAGGCAGTCTGAGCTCCGATGACCTTGTAGACGATGGATGTGTCATCTGCGAACAGAGACAACAATCCACCATCAGGGAGAGCCGGCATATCGGAGGTGAACAGGTTGAATAGAATGGGGCCAAGGATGCTTCCTTGTGGAACCCTAGCACCGATGTTGAAAGCATCTGATGCCATTCAGAGAGACTCGGAACGTCCTGTTCGATAGGTAGTTGTTAATTATCACTAGGAAGATTGGAATATCGTAGTGCTGCAATTTGAACACCAGGCCACCATGCCAGACATTGTCGAACGCTTTTTCAACGTCCTACAACGCTATGGCAGATGTTTTCGAAACAGACTTGTTCCGTCTGAGAATGTTTGTTACTCGAGTCAGCTGGTGGACGGTCGAACGACCTTTCCGAAAACCAAACTGTTCCTCGAGTAACAAGTTGTTTTCTTCGGCAGATGTTAGATTGCGCTTTCGAACAGTTTTGATAACCCTGAGAGAAGGCTGATTGGTCGATAACTTGAAGGAGAGGACGGATCCTTCCCAGGTTTACAGCAATCAAAAATGTAACTGATCTATAAATAGATCACTGGGCGTTAGAGGCTTCTGATCTATAAATAAATCACTTTTCGGTTATGGGTTAAAATTAAGGGGGTAGTACACTTTGAACGTCCAAAAAGTAAGGCATTTTCGTTAATTTTTTTAAGCATTAAAACTCTCAGGGAGGGCAAATATGTTATAACCCATTTATTAGTCATCCTTCGAACTACAATTTGTATTTTTTTGAACTCGATTGGCGTCTCCCCGTGGCCGGTGCACCAGGTCGCGCGGAAGTCGGAAAACGGCGTGGGAAAATACTCCTTTCCATGTGATCCTGGAACATAAATCGAACAAAAATCCTGATTGTAATGAAATTTGGGTTAGAAATACGTATTCCGATTATTTTTTAAATTAATTTTTTTCAAAAGTTGTGGCCTTAGGAAAAAAAAGTCCATTTTTTCACCCTAAAAATGCTTACAAAATCGTGAATTAAAAATCCATTTTTGACAAAATCGAAAATGTGGATACGTATTTCTAAGCAGAATTTAATTCTGAACAAGAAAACCTAGGCGATATCCAAATTTGATGATAACTGGTTAGAGTTATTCCACACGCCAGTTTGAAAAACCCCGTTTCGAGATAAACGCGTTGCTCTCTCAGCGCGCCGGTACATGTTTTAGGAAATCGCTTCGTAAAGCGGTAAGGAATATTCTGGCGGACTTGGAGTCTTTTCTAAATTAAAGTATACATCCCAAGAAACATTTAAGCCAAAAAAAAAATGCATTTTTTTTGAAAAATCAAAGTGTATTGCCCCCTTAAGCATAACACCGAAATCCGAACAGAAGTATTTTTCCTGGGTCGAATTGGTTCTGCGGTCTAATTCCTCAAAAGGTGTTAATTTAAAACCTTGAAAATTAATTCAAAATACTTTGCAGGATTATTGTATTAGAATATTTTCAAACATTTCCTTTGAAATCATTTCACATCCGAATGTTTCTAATACCAGGGTGGCCAGTGAATTTTCATTTTAAAATTCCCGGTTTTCCCGGTTCACATCTCTAAATATTCCCGGTTTTTAGTTATTATTAAAAATAATGATTGATACTTAGAATCAATTTGAATAACTTTGTGTAGGCTTGAGTCCTCTTATGATTGTAAAGCACCAGAGTTATGGACTTTTTCAAGGTCGCATAGCCGAACGCTATCGGACTGAATGGGCCATTATACCGAATTTTAGGGGGAGAGATTATATTAAGAAATTGCTTTAAAAATCTTGAACTTGATACGTTTTTAAGTATTGTGATCTGTACTAGTATAAATCTTAAAAACAGTTATAATTTCTATGATTCTGGGGCTTTTACACGTGTTAAGAGTGAAATTCTTAAGAAAGTTTCACGTAAATTCAGCACATAATTCCAAGGTATTCTGAGGAGAATTCCAAAGAATTTCTGAGGAGAGTTTTGCGAAAGTTAAAATAATTTCAAAGGTTTAAGATAATTAAGAACTGAATAAACAATTTTTGAGCTGCAGAAACATATGTTTGCTAGATTAAGCCCAAGCTGTTATTCAACTTTTACTTTTTGTTGGAATATGGTATGGTTTATTGATTTTCCCGGATCTCCCGTCAAATTCCCGGTTTTTACTGTTTTGCCGGTTCACTGGTAACCCTGTAATACAAGTTTGAGATTCTCTCTGGGAGTCCCTAAAACATTTATTTATAACTTTCTCTGCAGATCGATCCAAAAAACATGAAATTCATCCTTAGATTTTCTTCGAAGTTTAAAGCTTTTTCTAGGAATTCACTGGAGCTTCCTGCCACAATTCTATTCAAAATTCAATTTAATTCTCTTTAGAATTCAATCCTCAATTTAATTCTCTTTAGAATTGTCAAGCAATTCTCTTGAAATTTTGTTCAGAGTTATCTTGAAGTTCTCATCTAAAATCTTTTGAAATTTTGCTTAGAAATTTGTTTCGTGATGCCCCTGGAATTATCATCAGAATTCGTTTGGAATTTTACCCTGAAAATACGACTTAGGGGAAATGGATGTAATGTCAGCCTAAATGCCCCTAATTTGGGTACATAAATAAATTCAGCAATCGACTAAATTTTCAATAGCGACCAAAACTATCCATTAGTACCATCCCAATGACGCGTTCATCTAGATAAAATTGATAAATATCAGATTGGGCCCATGCTAAAATCTTAGATCCATAGGCCAACATTAGAGCCATATTGATATTTTTCACAGATCCTGGGATATACACAATTGATTTGGAATTTTTTTATCTGGAAGGCTCAATCGCGTTAGCTTTACGGAGCCGATAATTCATTGTTCTTTGTTTGTAACAAAATTCACTTAATTCTATGTCTAGTAGGAGTTGGGCCGAATACTCGCGGCTTACAATAGGTAAGAGGGGTACATTGTCGAAGGATAGGATCAGCAGAGCGTTGTCCTATGGTTACCAGTGGGCGACGATGAGACTCATCGAGACGGGGGGACAAGACAAACAAAAACTAATGAAGAGAAACAAAAGACAAAGCAATAGACATTTGCAGAAACACATAAATCGATTACATATATCAGAGATCTACTCAAGTGGCTCTAAACTAAAAATTGCAGGAGTTCTTTCAAAAGCTTATTTTCTCTGAAATACCTTGGTGTTATCCTTGACATTCGCACTAAAATATTCTCATAATTCCTTAAAAAAAACTATTCTAGTCCAAAAAATTTAAGAATTTTTAAAGGTCCAAAATTCAGGGTGGCAAGTGAATTTCCATTTCGAAATTGCTGGATTTTTCCTGGTTTTCCTGGTCAATGATTTAAAAATTTCCTTTTTAATAAAAAATAAAATAAAGTGAATCCTTGTACCATCATTCTTCGCGCAATGCGGAATTTCACAAACCAAAATAGGTATTAAGGTTCTTGTGAATGCCCGTGAAATCTTTATCTGATTGTTTGCTGTAAAGAAGCTAGTAGGGAGCCGCGCTACTTCGTCGTATCATGGCGCCTATTTCCGTTCTATGTGCTAAAACTATAATAGCAAAGCGTTTTCACTCATGTTTTTGCAAAAACATCTTTGCTTACAAGATTGATTACACTGAAACATTTGCGAATTTAGGGGTGTATGACAAAGAAAAGCTGAGATACGACGGACTAGCGCGGAGCCCTATCTAATGTCTGAAATTTAGAGATCTATAAGCCCCTAAATCTTGAGATTTCTGTTTTTGAAACTGCGATTTTTTAACTTTATTATTGAAATTTTTAGCCAGGTGAAATTGCGAAGTGTGATATGAATGAAGACTCTTTAAACAAACCTTTGCTTCTAACAATTTTACGGATTTCCAGATTGTTTAAAATTAAGGGTCTTATTTAGCGGAATTTTGATTACAACATGATTTCAAAAGTAGTTC